TGCGCATCTCTACGGGCCGCTCAAGAATAGTCTCTGCGTTGACCTTCTTCACATCACCATAATCGAAGAGTACGGCCTTTTTATCCTTCTTGGTAAGGGCACGCTTAGCCTCAATCTCTAGGTTCTTGAGTCTAGTCTGCTCCTCCTTGACGAGCTGTGTGCTCTTCTCGATAATCTCATCCAGAGTGGCTTTGACGACGCCCATGTCACGACCAACCAGTCTAGCTGCGCGCAGAATCTCATCGCCACGCTCCTCAAGCGAGCCATAGCGACAGTACGCCGTGATGAGATTGCGCGCCTCTTTGGTATTGAGCGGCCGCTTCGGATCACGCTTGATGTTGTCGTCTGCGTCGGATTGGTCGTCGTCATCGACGTCGATCTGAGACGCCTCGAGCGCGCGTTTCTTCGCAGCTCGTTGTTCTCGTGCGCTGGCTGAGGCGGCCTTGCGCTTCCGAGGTGCATTCTCTTCGAGCAGCTTTTGCGTTTCTTCTTCGTCTTTACGCTGCTGAATGTCTGCTTTGACAGCTTCGAGTTCTTCTTTGGGAATGATGTCGTCCCACTCGAGATCGATCTTGACATCCGTGTATTCAAAGTTCTTCAAGAACTCTTCACCACCGTCAGATGTGAGACCAGCGGCCTGCTCTGTCTTGTGCTCTTCGGCATTCTCCAAAACAGAGTCAATGTCAAGCTCTTCAAGCTTCTTCTGGTTGCCGGACTGCTCAAACATCTTTTGTCCGCGGCGCTTGAGAATGTTGTTGATGTCATCGGCAGAGTTTGGCTCGGCAGCAGCACGGCTCATCTTGTCGTTCAGCTCCTTTTGCTGACGATCAGTCACACCACGCTGAATTGTGATGAACTCGAGCATGCGCTTGTTTCGAGCGCGCTCCAGAATCTCCTCTTCAATGGTGTCCTTTGAGACCAGACGATAGACGCTCACAGGCTTCTGCTGCCCGATACGATGAGCACGAGCCATGGCTTGCAAGTCGGCCTGAGGATTCCAGTCGGAATCGAAAATGACGACAGTGTCAGCGGTCATCAAGTTGATACCAAGACCACCAGCCCTAGTAGACAACAAGAAGCAATAGTCCTCGCTGCCGGGAGCATTGAAATGATCAATAGCAATCTTTCGCTCTGCCGCTGGGACTGTTCCGTCCAGTCTCTGGAACGCGTAGTTGCGCAACTTGAGGTAGTCGGTCAAGATATCCAACATGTGGACCATCTGACTGAAGATAAGCACGCGATGACCATCGGCTTTCAACTTGCCGAGTAGTCGATCGAGCAGCATCATCTTACCACTAGAGGTAATGAGCGCTTTTAGCGTTTCCTCCTTTGAACAGCCGTTCTTCACAAGCTTGCTCTCAGCATTAGGGAAAAGCAGAGCGTGGTTGCTAGCCTTCTTCAGCTCCATAACGATGTTCAATAGAGACTGCTTGTGGCCAACGCCTCCCTCGTTCAGAGCCTCATAGTTACGGGTAAGGATGTTCTTATAGTATTCGAGTTGAATGTCGGAGAGTTCAACACGGAGAATCTTCTCAGACTTGGGAGGCAAATCATTCTCTACCTTCTCCTTGGTACGACGAATCATATAAGGTTGAATGGCAGAACTGAGTTCGGCAAGCTTCTGGCTAGCGTCTTCCGAAGACAGATCAACATGCTCGTCGACAGAGATCTTTCCTGGCATCAGGAAATCCATCAATGCTGCTAGTTCACCTAGCGTGTTTTGGATAGGGGTACCAGTGATGAGCAGTCGACAGGGCGCGTTGAATGCCGTTAACCGTTCATAGAGCTGTGACTCACGATTCTTCAATCGGTGAGCCTCGTCAACAGCAAGGAATTGCCACTTGATGCTCTGCAAGAACTGCCAGTCGGCAAGGACGTATTCGTACGTGGTCAAGAGGACATTGAACTTGACCTTCTTTGGGTTATTGTCTACGAGAAGCTCCTTCTCCTTGATGATGTTGCGGGCCTCCTCTCTGCCAGTGTAGATGACATAGTTGACGTCGGGGGTCCAGTTGTTGAAAGTGTCTGCCCATGCGGGCATAGTAGACAGTGGCACAACGCAGATCATTGGTCCATCCTGTCTACGGTCATGCCTTAGCCAGTTGATGAATGAGACGGTCTGCACTGTTTTTCCTAGACCCATCTCATCGGCTAGGATGACATTGGTGCCTCGACACCAGTTGTGCGCAAGGAAGTTGACACCCTGAAGTTGGAAGGACCTCAGTTGCCCAAACTTGATGTAGTCGGGCTGTGTATCCATCTTGACAAACTTTCTGCGGGTATTGGGATTTGACTCGCGAAGATCGGAGGTAGGTCGATTTGCTGAGCGGTCGAGATAGCGGTCGATCTCAGTCTGCGACAGACGGCTGACGAGTGATGCCGGCTCCCATGTGCAGAACTCATACGTCAGTCCTTTCCCTGCAATATTGTTAGGGAGTTAAGATGAGGATTGACACGGATAAGCTTACACTTGACAAAGTACTCCGTCTCATCCTCGCCATCCCGCGTGTCAATGACACGCTCAACGATATGGAAATCAAGCTGACTCTCACGCTCAGCTTCACGCGCAACCATATGCTGTTCAAACTCCTCTGGATCTTCGTTCTTGCGGCTGTGATAATACATATCGTTCTGGACGGGGCCCTTGTAGTAATTGTCTAGTTTGCGGATGCCTTTGTAGGCAGATGCTGTCTTGTAGTCTTCCCATGTTGAATGGTAGTGTGCCTTGTCCTGCCATTTGATCTGGTACTACATTAGTATCGTGAATAGTGATGGCCAGCGAGTGTGTTTACCAAATATTCAAAGTCGTGCTTGTCAAAGGACGGATCAATCTCTGCACTTCATTAGCAAGAGTGCCGACACACATCTTGGTTGTTCTCCATTACCTAATCCGTCTTTTGGCCGATGGTCGAGGATCTTGTCGATGACGGGGCCACTGTCTTCCACAGCGTTCGCCCAGTAGGCCGAGGTCATCTCGTCTTCCTCTTCCGCAAATTCATCCTCATCATCCTCTTCGTTGTAATTCGCCACCTGGGCTGTGCGACGTGCAGAAAATCGGACCTCGGCTTGCGAGGGAGGCTCACGACCTGCAGCAACAGCATGCTGACGTTGGCGTTGCTTCTTGGTCGGAATATTGCGACGGGCTCCAACATAGCCATCTGACTCTGAATCAGAGCCAGTAGAGCGATAGACTGGTGTTGGTTGGTTTGAGGCTAGATGGACATATTAACCCTGCTCTGGACAGGAGGGGTATGGGTAGACAAACTCTTGCGCGAGGCTGTCCTCTGTCGCTTGCGTGGCTGGTCTGAATCGTAATCATCATCATCCTCTTCTTCATCACTACTATCGACCTGAGTCATATCAGTACCGGTTTCTAACATCGACTGAGGCTTACTTACAACGCGACGACTAGGACGGGCGCGACCCTGGGACGAAGTTAGCTTACATACGGAGGGAGCTTGAAGTTACGTACGCTGCGACGCAGGCCATATAGCTCTGGGTTCTGCTCAATATAATCTTCTTTTTCAACGCTTGCCTTGCGCTTCGTCGGCCTTGTCGACTCTTGGGACGAGCTCCGAGCGCGGTCGCTCTCTGCCTGCTCAGACGGCGGTGACTCAGAGTCGTAATCACCATCCGGCTCGCCCTCGGCATCCACGTCCTCGGAAGAGTCTGAAGCAGCAGCTACCTCGTCGTCCTCATCGTATTCCTCTCCCGGCGCGTCGACATCGGAGGCCTGGGCGGCTGCGGCGTGCTCTCCCGCGTCGGACGCATCGCTGTCACTGGAGTTGGAGGAGCTGTCGGCAGCCATTACATGGGCGGCAAGAGGCGACAAATGACCGTTTGTGTATGGCAGGGAAGCAACATGGCCCGGCGAAGAGGGCATCATGATGGACGCGGCTGTAGAAGATGGTCAGCACGATATTTCAAGCTCCTGTGGGCCCCGGCGCCTCGGAGCGAGTGCGTTGAATAGAGCAGAATTACGCGACTCCGAATAAACAGAAAGCGACCAGAAACGAGGGAAAAGAGGTGAGCAATGGAAGGGTGATGAAATGCGGTAGTGGTGGATAAGCGCGTGATGGATCAAGGGCAGTGGAGCGGTGTAAGCCAGGAAAAGGGCTGGCAGCGTATGGGAAGCGGTAGAGGACTGGCGAAAGCGTTCTGTACGTCGTGCAAGGCCGTGCTATGGGTCCGAGGCGGGTTGCGGGATGCAAGGGCGTGGAATAGTGATGGATGGATGGACATGGGCGAGGCCAGGACCAGGCACGTCGCGAAGGGCCGAGATAGAAACGCACGCGATCAAAGACTCAAAAGGAGACTGTACTCACAGTCCATGCTCAAGACACCCTCGATATAGGCGGGGGCGGGGGCGTTGTCTTGGAAGGGTGCAGGATGGGTGGTGGTGAGGGTTGTGGAGTTTCCTTATGGTCGGGGCTTCAATCCAGCAGCCAGCGACCTGCGCGCTAGTGACAGCCGCACCCGCCACCAATCAGCGGCCACCCCAAAACGCTTACCTTCCACAGTGTGAATGCGAACAACGTCAGGCCTGGAGACTACCCTGCGGCCCATCTCCACACCCTAAAACGCCTCTTTCACGCTTCTCCTGCCCAGCCTACTGGATTCCTCTAGTCCGCCCGACGCCTGCACCCTCTGAGCGCGTGCCAGTCTGGGTAGCCGTCTCATCTCGTCGAGTCCTGTGTGCGCCGCCCTGTTCTTTGCCCATCAAATTCCCCGCCTACGCAGTTTGCGCCCGCCGCCCACAGCAATCCGACATCCACGCCAACAACCGCAAACATGTCTGACAAGCTCACCCGGTACGTTCCATGCCACTCTTTTGGCCTCTGCGCATCTTCAACTGACTTTGTCCTAGTATTGCCATTGTCAACTCAGACAAGGTACCCCACTACCCCTCCACGCACAAAATTTGGCCATTGCTAACCAGCCATGTGCGCCATGACAGTGCAAACCCAAGGCAAGCACCACCCTCCCACGCTCCTTCCCTCTTACCACTCTGCTAACCCCGCCCAGAAATGTCGACAAGAATGCAAAAAGTCCTGCCCCGTGGTGCGCACCGGCAAACTGTGCATCGAAGTAGACTCGTCGTCCAAGATCGCCTTCATCTCCGAGCGACTGTGTATTGGATGCGGTATCTGCCCCAAGAAATGCCCCTTTGATGCCATCAACATCATCAACTTGCCCACGAACCTCGAGACCCAAGTCACCCACCGATACTCGGCCAACAGTTTCAAGCTGCACAGGCTGCCTATGCCCCGTCCTGGCCAGGTGTTGGGTTTGGTCGGTACAAACGGTATCGGAAAGAGTACGGCGCTGAAGATTCTGAGCGGAAAGCTCAAGCCTAACCTGGGTCGCTACGACAACCCGCCAGACTGGGAGGAAATTCTCAAGTACTTCCGTGGTTCTGAGCTTCAGAGTGAGTAGCTCCACTGCCATGCAGCACGCGTCTAGCTAACGAATCATAGACTATTTCACAAAGGTGCTTGAGGACAACCTCAAGGCTGTCGTCAAGCCTCAGTATGTCGACCAGATCCCTAAGGCTATCAAGGCCACCGACCGATCCGTGGGCAACCTCATCAAGGCCCGCTCCCAGATGGAAAACCTCGACGAGATGATCGATGACCTGGAATTGCGACACATCTTCGACCGTGACGTCGGTCAACTGTCTGGTGGTGAGCTGCAGCGTTTTGCCATTGCTCTGGTGTGCGTCCAGCAAGCCGACGTCTACATGTTCGACGAGCCGTCCTCTTTCCTCGATGTCAAGCAGCGTCTTGCCGCCGGTCGAAAAATTCGCAGTCTGCTCCGCCCTGATGATTATGTCATCGTTGTCGAGCACGACTTGTCTGTCCTTGACTATCTCTCTGATTTCATTTGCGTTCTTTACGGAAAGCCTGCCGTCTATGGTGTCGTCACCCTTCCTGCGTCGGTCCGTGAAGGTATCAACATCTTCTTGGATGGTAACATCCCCACTGAGAACCTGCGTTTCCGTGAGGAGTCTCTTCAGTTCCGAATTGCCGAGGCCGGCGATGAGTACATGACTGACCACAACCGTGGTTACTCATACCCCAGCATGAAGAAGACCTTGGGCGGCTTCGAGCTTAACATTGAGTCTGGTGCCTTTACCGACTCCGAGATTCTTGTCATGATGGGTGAAAACGGTACCGGAAAGACGACCTTCTGTAAGATGCTTGCTGGTGCTCTGCAGCCCGATGGTGACACCAAGATTCCCAAGATGAGCATTAGTATGAAGCCTCAGACCATCACCCCCAAGTTCCAGGGTACCGTTCGACAACTCTTCTTCAAGAAGATCAAGGCCGCCTTCTTGAACCCGCAGTTCCAGACCGACGTCTACAAGCCTCTCAAGATGGACGACTTTATTGACCAGGAGGTGCAGAACCTCTCTGGTGGTGAATTGCAGCGTGTTGCCATTGTATTGGCCCTTGGTATCCCCGCTGACATCTACCTCATCGACGAGCCCAGTGCGTACCTCGACTCCGAACAGCGTATCATTGCCTCTCGTGTCATCAAGCGCTTCATCATGCACGCCAAGAAGACCGCCTTTGTCGTCGAGCACGATTTCATCATGGCTACGTACCTCGCCGACCGTGTCATTGTCTTTGACGGTCAACCAGCCGTCAAGGCCCGTGCCAACAAGCCCGAATCCCTGCTCACTGGCTGCAACACCTTCTTGAAGAACCTGGACGTCACCTTCCGTCGCGACCCCAACTCGTACCGTCCCCGTATCAACAAGGACAAGTCTCAGCTTGACCAAGAGCAGAAGCTGAGCGGAAACTACTTCTTCTTGGAGGATGATAGTTGAAGAGGTTTTCAATAAGCGAAACACGCCTCACTCGCAGCGCCGCCCGCATGGGCACGTCAAGACCGGGGTGACTAAGAAGGGCAACAAAAAGCGTGGGTTGAGAGCACGCGCTGTAAGCCTTTTGGATGATGAGGCAGCGGAGGTGGTTGAAGAGGATGAAGACGACTGGATTCTTGGCAGCGGTCGGACCTCCTGCGCTCACTAGTCAGATTCTCTATTGGATGGATTGATGAAATGACAGACAAAATAGTTGGCTCGGGTCAAGCTAGGTGGCCGCTGCAACACCTGAGGGGAAATGAGGTTGTTGTGTTATGCATATAGCTCAAAAGTAGGCGCTCAATTGTGAATTACGTAAGCGTTGGCTTACTATGTATGTTCACGTGGAGTCTAGCTTCTATGTCTCAAGTGAAGGAATTATAGAGGATACCGGATCACGTGATTTGATTTGATTCACGTACTTGTATATTTTCCTTCTATACACGCACGCCAGGACTTTTTTCCCTAACCAGCTACATCAAAACACCCATGTTTCACAATTCCTGGACTAAACCACGCTTTATGTACACATTCTCACATACTATCGAACTCCAGGATAAAAAAGGAATAATCTTGTATTCTTCGTCCCATAACTTTTTCTCAAAATACGAAGAAGGGAAAAGAAAAGAGAGAGAGAGAGAGAGAGAGATGAGGAAGGGGGTATCAAGAATCCCAAAAAAAACAAAAAGAGAGAGAGAGAGAGTACGAAAGGAAAGAAAAGCCGTACCCAAGAACAGTGGTTCATATCGAGTAGTTGTGTGCGTTGTTTCGAAGCGAAGTTTGAACAAAAAAAAGATGAAGGAAAGGGGGTTGGGGGTATATGTGTATATGTATAAAAAGAATTCCCAGACTCGGAAAAAAAAAGAAAAAAAACACTCTTCCTTTGCGTTCTTCTTGTTCTTCTCTCTCACTTGTTTATTCCTTTGATTGTCCATTACTCTACCTCAGGCACGCCACATAAACTCTTCAGCCATAGGCGTCGTAGGCAACCGACCGTTGAGTTCCAAGTTCGTATTCAGGTAATCCGCTTCTTCCTCCTCTTCGGAGCGTTTACTTGCGCTGGAAAGCGGTGTACGCATGGGGCTCGTTTGCATTGCCAATTCACCGTCGAGACTTGCCGAGATAGACTTCGTATCGTCATCTTCTGGCTGGGTGATGGTCGTTGCGGGCGGCGGCGAGGAAGCGGCATCTGTAGAGGCTTTGCTGGCTCGTTTACGAGCGCGCTCCTGACGAGCTTCTTCTCTTTGGCGCATGAGTTCTTGTTCGTGGGCAACGGCTTTTGCGCGGCGCTCTTCAACGTCTTTGCGTTTAATGACTTTGCCGAGGGCGTCGGATGCTTGGATCAGGCCGTCGATGCTGATGGCGTGGTTGGTCATCTGGTGGTTGATGTAGTGGTAGACGCCGGCTGGAGTATCGCATTGTAAGAGGGCCTTTTCGTTCAGTTTGAGAAGCGCGAGTGCGATTTGGAAGAGGAACGTGGATCCATCGTGCATGCAGAGGACAACGTCCCAAACGCGGAAGAGCGCTTCGGCGGATAAGCAGTCGGTAAAGACGGATAGGAACCATTGGAAGGTCAAGGCTTCAAGCTCGATCTCCAGCTCATCAAGATGTGCAGATAGCCTGGGCAAGATTTCAGCAACGTATTGGCGAAGCACAGACTGGTCAGCGCGAGACGTGAGCAGATGCTGGTCATAGTAGTGCTGGGGCAGAATCTCCTCAATCATTGCGGTGAGGACCCAAAACGCATCTTCAGGCGTGGGCATAATGAGCAGCAAGCACGCAGCAATGAGGTTCATGCCTTGACAATAGCCAACTTCTGGATTGCGGCGCGAGTAGGCAAGTAATACTTCCTGCAGCTTCTGTACGCCAGGGCCGGTCCGGAAAAAGATGTTGTCAGTCAATGTGCGGGTAATGTCCATCTGGATTTGAGTTGCGATAGCCGGATCATCCTCGCCATTGTTCACCAAATCCTCATAGTAGCCGGGCGTGCGTAGATGCAATGCTCCGCTTCCTTCAGCCCAGATGGCAGCCCTCATGTGGACGGGAATGCCCCCGAGGACAAGACGGCGAAACTCTTGCCATTTGGCACGGCCCACTTTGCCCTTGTTGCCGAGACCTGCGATGCCGACCAGTTCGCCGTCTGAGAGAAATGTCTCGGGCATTGCGTTGGCCTTGCCATTCTCCCCTATGCTGGCAACTTCGCCTTCACGTTTGTTCTGTGCACGAACTTTGCGCAAAAAGTCGTTCCATTTGACGGTTCTCTCTTTCTGGAGGTTGTCGTGCAGTTCACTCATCTGCTCCAGCAGGGACTGTACGGGATCCATCTGACCCGGATACGGGCTGATGGGCGTGGATGGGCCAGGTGAGGTGGCAGTGACGGAAATTTCTGCATTGCCGGAAACGATGCGAGATGGCGATGGCTCTGGGTTGACGCTGGTAGTCGGCACAGAACCTCGCTTCATCAGAGTGATTTGAGTCTGGCCAATCTTGAAGGAAGATGTCTCGCCTTCAGCAGACTCTACCGTAGTGATCGGCGCTGCTGATGGGGTATGTGAAAGCAGCTCAGTTGGGTGTGTGGCCAGTTTAAGGTAATCAACCCAGGTCTTGCTCGCTGGCTGACTGGGCTGATTGTCTGAATCTGAACTGGATGGGCGTATACTGGTGCTGTTCTGATCACCTGCCACTGGAGGACCGTCGACATGATCGGCATCGTCTGCTTTTGCAAGGCTGTTGAGCGCAGTTCTGCTGTCGTTAAGTGACTCGACATTACTGCTCCGTTTTTGCTTGATCAGAGCAGCAGCAGCTTCGCTCTGTCTCTTCTTTCGGCGCTGGTCGTAGATGAAGCCAAATCTATCAGTCAAGTACTCGCTACTCCCGATAAATCGGTTATGTTGCTGCACAAGCGTTGGCGGACGTGAATCTTCGGGTAAAATGCGGTCCATTTCCACAGGGCCGAGATTGCTCATTCCACGGGTTGGCTGGGATGGAGCAAGGCTACTGGACACGACTTTGGGCTGATCTCCGGTAATGCTCTTAATAGTTCCATTTGGGCCCAACGCACGACCTCGTTTCTGTGTGCTTGCTAGGGAAGACTTTGCAGACTGTACGGTTTTTGTCGAGTCCATAGAGGGCGCTCGGTCTGCAGCATCAGAAGCCGTGGTTTTACGCCCTCTTGCTGAGCTTGTTTTACTAGGGCTTGCGGAGCTATTGCCCGCCACCATTTTCAACGCCCAACTCGCTAACGAGGACGACGAGGACCTACGCGCCGACGCATCTCCGGCACGATCTTGGCTGTTGAGTCTGCGTAGGGCGGGCGCTGCGCCGGCAGCGGAAGGAGGTACAAAGGTATCGTTTGCGAGAGGCTTGCGAGGCGGCTTTGCATTACTGTTTGCACGCGATCGTGGTCCAGCTGGTAAACCACCAATATCCCGGTCAGTATGGCTGGCGACGGATGGCGCCCTACTGCTCTTCCTACTTGTTCCTGCCCAGAGATAGCCCTTCCAGTTTGACTTTGGACCATCGCGCTGAGCATCTGACGCGACCGAGTTGAGCGACATGACATCTGCCAGGGGCGTTGCTGCAGTGCCCATATCTATGCCGAGCGCATCTGGGTGCTCGGCCAGTTCGTCTTCCATGGCCCTTGCAAGCCTATCCTCCATGGGATCGTCAGGATGCAATCCAGCGGATGCGCTGTCGCCCCTTGTCCTTGTCTTGGTGAGGCTGTTTCCATAGTCCCTAGTCCTGTCGAGCTCCCGAAGCCTGTTTTCAATGTCCATGTTGGAGACTTCGCATTCTTGGAGCATTTTCCTCAGCATGCGCTCGCGCTCCTCGGCTCGTCTTCGCAGGGCGGTAATTTGGGCGTCGCGCTGGGCGAGGTCGCCTGCGAGCTGCTTGACCAAGGCGACGGCGCCCGTGTGGCGCAAGGCATCTTGTATGTTTTCGTCGGTGGCAAAATGCAGGTTGCCTGGGACGTTTGCAGTCTCTGTTGGAGTGTCGTCGAAGAGGGCGGATCGGTCCTTGGTTGAGGACGAGGCGGCGACGAGACTGCCGACAATCTCCTGTGTCGACTTGGTGACCCTCCTCACCGTCGAGGTTGGTGTGACGGTCTTGTTAAAGTCGGGCGAGGCGACTGCCTTGAGGGCGTCGGGCAGCGCGGGCGGCCCATTGGGCAAGTCCTTGAGGTCGTCGTCGGGGGCAGGCGTGGATCGAAACCAGGCGTTGAGACGGGCGTGTGCCGGGGAGGCGTCTGGACTGGGCGACAGTGAGGGGAATGAGGTGAGGCTCTTTGTGTCGACTTCGGGCTCTGGGCCTCTGCTGCGGCTGCGGCTGAGGGAAGCATTGGAGGGGCGCTTGGAGGGGCGGACGCGCTGCAGGCTGCGGTTCCTTGGGCTGGAGATTGTTGATGTTTGCGAGGCTGTCCGCACGAGATCAGCGGCGCGCGGGTTGTCTAGGGCAGCCATGTGTGTCAAGCGTGTCTGTGGGGGCACACATTCGGGAGGCTGTGAGGGAGAGGGAGTGCAGGAGAGAGGGGAAGGAGGAGGAGGAGGAGGAGTAGTTATGGTAACGAGTACAGGTAAGTGTTTATGTTTGGGAGAGTGTATGTGTGTGTATGTGTGCGGATGCGGTTGTGTGGGTGCGTGTGTGGGTGCGGAGAGGGGGTGCGTCATACTACGCGGATCTGGCGACGGCCTAACAGTGCCCGCCCGCGTCGTCGAGCAACAGCAGCAGCACGACTTTTTAGCTACAAGTGGACATGTGGCACGACTGGGGCCCAAAAATGCCTCGGGCTCAGGGGACACAGGACAGACAGTGAGCGAGCTACACCAGGCGGATTGGCAGATTGCTCGCAGCGCAAGGGGCGCACTCACACACGCACGCCCGTCTTGGGATGAGCGGGGACTAGTCATGGCAGCCCTACACTACATGCCATGCACACGCACACGCCCGACACCACCACCCCGGGCCTCGCTGCCGATCACGGCGCCCTATCCAGTAGCATCATCTGCATGCCATACTTACACCACATGCTTCCCGCAAGGCTGCCAGGGACCGTCCTTGGCTGCCCGCTGCCGTATTACACACCCTCCACACCCAGCACCCGCCCGTCTGCTCATGTTTCGCATCCATGCCCCCCACGGATGAGGATGCTGCCCTGCAAGCCATCGCCGCCCTCGACCAACCCTCGCCCGCCCAACTGAATGCCCAACAGGCCATCGCCGCCATACTGCACAACGGCGAGCCCTTTGCTGACGTCCACACCCTCTTCGCCCTCTACGACACCCTCTACTTCCGAAACCTGCTGCTGTCGCGCGTCGAGGTGCTTTGGTCGTCGCGTCTAACCCTAGTACGTTTCTCTCTGGCCTTGCTCTGTTTTCTACCCGTCTCACCCTCCCCATCTGAAGCCGGCCCTGGCTACCGCTCCGCCTGCCCGCGCCGTTGGCCCGCTGGCTGACCGTCGCAACAGTGCGCTGGCATCTGCGAGCTCTCCAAGGATCCCAAAACAGGTCACTGGTCCCGCATCCGCCTCAAGCTGAGCTCCCCACTGCTGCAGTACCGCCCCCGCTCAGACACCATCAACACGCTGCTGCACGAGGCCATTCACGCCTACTTCTTCATTACCACCTCATGGACTCACTCGCGCGGTGACGACGGGACCGGCCACGGTCGCGGTTTCCAGCTGCTAGCCGACGCCCTCAACAACCACGGCGACTATCAGATTACCGTTTACCACTCGTTTCACGATGAAGTCGACAGCTACCGCACCCACGTCTGGAAATGCAATGGGCCTTGCCAGAACCAGCCTCCCTATTTTGGCCTCGTCAAGCGGAGCATGAACCGCGTCCCTGGCAAGAGTGACCCCTGGTGGGTGAAACACCAGGCCGAGTGCGGCGGCACCTACACCAAGATCCAGGAACCCGCACCTACAAAGAAACAGTTGCAGGCCATGACCACAAAGGAGCGTGCTGGACGCCAGAAGAACAAGCTCGACAATTGGATTACAGCCGGACCGGCAAAACAGGCCCAAGCAAAAGGTAGTACTAGTGACGATCCGATCCATCTTCCCGACACGCCTCGGGCTGCACCTTCATACGCCAGCAAGCCCAAAGATTCAGTAGTCGAGAACCTTGTTTCTTCACCGTCTCGTTCCACGTCCCCCCACACAGGCCACAAACGTTTGCGGTCGGTGCAAGAACATGACTTGGCCATGCACAAGAAACTTCTGATCGAATGCCCAATCTGTAACCTAACAATGGCTGAAGCAGACATCAATCAGCATTTGGATGTGGCGCATTGCTGACAACGTTTCCCCTGCCTGCCAGTCCCAAACAGGATAGATTTTCCTGGACCCTGATTATTACGTCATCCTACACTGCTCATTATATCCGTAGGATCTACGCCCGGGTATGCAGCTAATAAGCGGTTGGCTTCCTGACCTTGCAAGTGACAACACCATGTCTTCTATTCTCCACTATGCTCTGTTCAAAAAATCATGAACTCGCCTTCTCACACCAATGTACCCATGGTACCGGCACAACACTCTCTGCTTCTTAAGCTCCCTTCGGAACTGCGTCTTGAAATCTACGATATTCTAGGTCGCCGTGAACCCAAAAGCTACCCCTTCGGATGGGGCCCAATCCGCTTCATTGATCGAAGAGCCCCTCCTACAGCACTCATGGCCACGTGTCGCTATCTCCATGACGAGATTCTCGCCCACTTCTACAATACCGTCACCTTCCATTATCTTACACAAACTTCTACTTTTCCTCGTATCAGCGGCCTTTGCCCCATTGCACTCGCTACTGTCCGGTGGGTCAAGAAGTTTCACTTGAAAATCTACTGGAAAAGGCGGGGACCGTCTTTGGAAGAGAATTATAGCAAAGACCTCCATTTCCTAATTCGCTGGCTTGAGGACATAACCAAGATGCTGCTCAGAGAGGCAAAAAGCATCGAGACGGTTACCATCGCAGTGGTTGACTTGACCGTTGGTGTAGATTGGGAGTACAAGAAGAGGCTTTTGGATCCATTGAAAATGTTGGGTCAGCGAGCAGTGCTGCGCTTGGGGGAGGTGACAGCGACAGGCGAAGAAGAGGAGGTCGAGTTGACAGCACGAATGAAGCTGTGTCTGGATGGGATCAACGAGGAGCGGCTGGGCACAAGCGACGTGACTACTCTTGGTGAACAATGACACCTTGACTCACCCATTGTCTACACTTAGATTTGGGTTTCTAGCCAGCAAAGATTGCAGAAAATGGCCACGAAGAAAACTACAAGTCGAGTAATCCAGTCTCACTGAGTGACTCAATCTCAATCGGCGCCTCTCGCGATTCACCCCGACCATTTGCCTCAGGTGGAACAGCGTACTTCACCCACCTCATCAACTGCCCATTTACCCTCGCTAGGACATGTTGACAGGGCTCGACCCCAAGCGCCTCCCACTCCTTCTTCAATCCTTCCTCGATGTACTTTCTTCTGCCCTCCTCTGTCTGCATACTCTTGGGCCCCTTCTTGGACATCTCCCTGTAAGCCAGCCACCCCTTACCCTGATGATAGTCTATATTCATATGCTTCATGATGCGCACATGTGCTGCAGCTCGCCTGCGCATAAATGTCTCGTCATGTGCCTTTTCCCCAAGCATCGACCGAATATGCGCACTGCGCGCAAGGACATCAGGTGTCGAAATCATCGTGGCAACATCGCCCATGACGGGATACGATCCTGTCGCCAGCGGAGGAAGATTCGGATGTAAAGGCGACGGTGTAAAAAGATCGAATTTGGAAAGATGAGTTTGTTGTGTCGCTTGCGTCATAGTCTGTTGTTGTGCCCCCATGTACTCGTTAGTTTGCGAAAACCAAAAGATGCAAAGGTTCTTCAAAGCGTCTAGTAACTTTACCCCCCACCCCGCTCTCATCTCCAAAATCGCACCCTTTTGCATCGCAAACCCTGTTGCAAATCCCCCAAACCCCCATTTTCAAACAAAGAAAGAAAGAAAGAAAGAAAGAAAGAAAGAAAGAGCATTAGGAAGAAAGTGAATATGACGTACCATCTTCTCAAACTCCCTCCGATCACACCCCAAACAACACGTCATCCCCCGCCCAAAACACGCCTTCCTCCTACTCTTCCTCTTGCAAAACCAGCATATCTCACCCACCCACATGCGCCGACAACTAGTCACCCGCGCATTCCTCGGTATCTCGATGCCCGCATGCCGTTTCAGCAGGTTCCGCGCGTACTCCTCGACTACGGCATTCAGCTGGCGGTTTGTGGCGGCGAGCGCGTTGAGCGGGTATGTGCGCAGCGTGAGGCAGAACGGTGGGTCCGTGTAGGTGAGGATGTGGAAGAGGAGTTCGGGGGGGAGGGTGTCGAGGCGAGTCATTTTGGCTTGGGGCTGTTTGAGAGATCGCGATGGAAGGGGGGGGGGGAGAGGGTAAGTGGGACGTGCGGGCCTTGCGGACGTGCGCATGTACGGAGTGTGTTTTTTTCTGAGCGGTTTTTTTGCGGGTGGTCGCTGGTTGGCGGTTGGCGGTTGTGGGTTTGGTTGGTAGTGTGTGGTCGGAGGGCCGACAGCTGACGCAGGTTCGGGGCGATGGAGCGACAGGGATCACCCCGCCTTTTTGTTATATACCTTGCAAGCTGTACGCTCCGCCCATCCCTGTGCGTTGCCCTGGGCTGACTGTTGCCTTGTTCTCTCTGGGGTTTTTTTGCTTTTCCCCGGTTTTTTTCCGCCCACCCTTTTTGTTGTGTCTGCATTTGCTCAGGCAGGTACGGGGCTAGGGTGGTAGTGCGGGCCGTGCGTTAAGCTTTGTATACACATACGTACGTACTATGTAATATCGAATTCAGCTGGAATGTCATATAGCGCACACACCAACACTACACCCGCCTGGCCCCCTGCAAAGCGTTACCGGGCTGCAAGGTTGGGCCTAGCACGGAACATTCTAGCGCATCGACTAGACATGCAAGTTTACGGGCGGGAGATCGGTAACCAGTGCCCGTCCCATACTTTCTACCCTCCCAGACCGTCGACCCCGACGGCGTCCTGAGGCGACTGCCAAGTCCGCTTTTACTTTTACGAGTTTGAGGCCAAAGGTCGCGGTGCCCTTTTGCTGTTGTGCGACTATGAGTCAAGGTACCGACATATGACCGTATGGGATTTTCAGCTGGTTGCATCATGGGTCCCTCTTGGAAGAAGGGCACGCCTTCATTACTGTCCTATCAGACTATCAGCCGGCCCTTTTTCCGTCCTTGGAGCCGGAAAACGCGCTGAGTGGTGCGCTCGCTCAATATCTTCCTGACAATCCTAGACGGCGATCATCTTTTTCTTGTACACAAGGACACTGGCGACAGCGCATGTAATCGACATGAAACGTAGACGTATGCACATGATGATAGCTGAGTTGGGTCGAGGGGGCAGATCATTTTCCACAATAGGAAAGTGGCCAGTGCAAGTGTGTCCATGTGTATATGCATATACCATCCTCCTTCTGTACCAGCCTCGTGAATCAACAAAGGGCACCGTTTCAAAACAAAGTTTCCAGCATCTCGCCGCACCTGGCCGATCCGTTACGAGTAGTTTTGACGATGGTGTTTTCCCCGATACATGCGAGCAAGCATGACACTGGCCCCCCCTCCCGGCGTAGCTGTCTACTCTGTCCAATCAGAGTTATCAATCGCCGTGGGCGGCTTTACCTCGGGTCGTGTAATCTTGCCCTTCCTACGTACAACTCACCGTATCCCGTTAGTCCCTTGCCTGACTGGTCCATGGGGAAATCTTTCGACGCTGCTGAAAAAAAGCACATATTCAGCCTACATAACGGCCCTACCGGATTGTCCGGCATCTGCCAAGGGGCACCTGCACGGCGGTTGCTTTATGCGCCCCAGAAAGCATATACTCTAGATTGTATGCAATGTCGCTAATGATTCGGATGATTCAAACAGCTCCCTAAGGGACCCGAGTGCGCCTGCTTGTGTGTCTGTGTGCGCGTGCGTTGTGAGGGACCATTATCAGGAATATGTTAATAAGGACCGCTGCGTTGTACGTTTTGCTTCGTACGTACGGCGACAAGGTTCTCTCAAACTTACTTAATCTTGAATGGACTCTTACTCGGTCCCTCAATATCCTGTCTTCTATTTAACTCTCTACGCCCCCACAACACGTTGGTGTAGCTGCACTACGTGTTCCAACAGTCAGTGAATAGCACCGTCTGCATACCTACCTTGATAGTGCTGACACTTTGATTGGATCAGCCGCGTTCTTCACTCTTATTCGCTGTTTAGTCGCTAGTTCGCGTTCGCTGCTTTAGCAACTGTTGTCAACGCGTGATATATCTGACAAGTCGTCTGTTTCACGTTTCATCCTTACCTCTACCCAAACTACACACTCCAAGGCAACATGGCCCATAGCCAGAGTCAATCTGGAGACCACTCAAACGGCTCTGCTCATCGTGGAGGAAGCCGCAAAGATGATCGTAGAGGCGACCGCAAAGACGACCGCAAAAGCTCAAAGCGTGCCGACAACAAGGTGAGAAGATTCCCCTGCTCTCAAGGATGGTGATGGCTAACAAAACCGCAGTCTGGCGCAGGAAGCGCACAATCTTCCTCTTCTTCGAGAGATCACCACTACGAGCCCCAGTATGATCCGCATTATGCGCCAGTGGCTCGCCCGATGCGTAATGACCTTACACATTTGGCGAGTGCGATGAATAATCCCACTTTAAACGCGGGATTCTTACCCCTACATGGGGTAGTCGACGCGTCTCGCTCTGGAGCAGGCGCGGTGCCTCACTCCTTCGGCAGGAGCGGGTTCAACGCACCTCAGGCGGGCCAAGCACACCAAGTCCAGTATGCAACATACCCGCCCCAAGCGCAGCAAATCTCCCACCTATCACCAGGCTATGACCGTACCGACCCCTACAATGCTATCGGGTACGTCCGAGTCGATGGACAAGTCTACGACGACTCCGAATTGTACGAGGACTACAGGCAGTGCGACCGAGACGAAGAACTCGACGACAACTATAGCGAAAACTGGTACAATGTACGAGGTGATGCGTCCTACTAAGTTGTAGAATCGCAGTTTCGATTGTCTAGCAAGAGTGATTGACTTATATCTCTTCTGGTCGTGACCGGAAAGACAGGCTGTGATCTCAGCGCTTGGCATGCTTTTCGTACAAGTTCCTTTTCTTTGGGTTCGCATAGTCAGCAGGTCCAGGCGCCTTCTTCCTTTTACCCCCACAATCAACCGGGGTCTGATCTACTCGCCCTCAGCCTTGCGGTGTGGGGTCGGTGTTTTCTTTTTCGCCACCGCATTGGCGCTTGGGTTGTTGTCTCGCATCTGGTAGCATGCTTTCATGGAGTGTTGTCTTTTGTGATATATTTTCATGGATTAATTTGATGCTTGAATGAACTGCTTTTTTATGCAAGCTGGTGAAATAGCGAACTTTGGTGCTAAAGTCAACCTGCCTCGTGCTCTTTGCTGTAAAAGCTCGGGTTAGGGGTCGCGATGTGTGCAACGTGAGCGGAAGCGTCGCAACTTGGCAATACGACAAACATGCGCGCCCCTGACCTGCCACAACACTCACCGGAATTGCTTTTGCTCACCGGTGCCAGAAGGATCATAATCAGCGAGGAGGACTTGGTCGCCGGAATCTCAGGTCATTCGCCTGAAACATGTTGCCCATTTTAAGAGCTTCCGCCTGTTGAGAGATTGATCGGTTGATTTGCTGGCACACCCATATCCAGTCGATTGCCCTGAAGGAATCAACAGCTAAAGCAAGCCTTGTACCTCAAGTCCCTCTAATCGGCTTCGGAACGTTGCATCGGCCGCGCGTTCATAGATGGAGGAGGCAGAAATCATTCTACTGCCCGTGGTAGATAGTAGTGGGTCCAAACAGATTGTATACATCCGATCCGATGTTCTGAGCGTGAGTGGACAACGCTTTTCTGGATAAGAGGCTGAATCTCGACATCCTCTCACCGATCAGCAGGGAAGGAGGACCAACCAGAGCTAAGATCAGCCAAAGACGAAGTCGTGCCCTCTATTAATAAGGCGGACAGTCGGCGGTGAGTCTGCCTCGCCACTGAATCGTGTTAGGCCCATGAAGGCTCACCGAGCGCACATGATGTACGTCCTGCTAGACGTTGAGTCTGTTCTGAACGTTTGCGTTGGCCTTTGCCGAGGCCTCGTCCGTAGTATGAGCATAGGACCCAGGGTAAGCTGAAGTCTCGCACTCGCCTCCAATCAGCGTATCGCAAAATTGCTGCCGAGGTCTCTTGAGCCGCCATCGATGGAGTATGAGCCTATCGCTAGAGCGAGATATGTATATGGAGATCTGGCAAGTTGATCTTGATGGCCTCGGCTGGCCGATCGGCGATGACGCAATATCAGTCATCGGGTCCGGATTAGTGCCGACCGATGAGCCGCCTTGGTCCGTGTGTTGGTGGAACAGGGTTAGCTACTAACCTAAAATTCACCACATGCTTCCCTGCTATTGAACGTCTTCTCCAAAGCAGCATATATCGCGAGCGTGTGCTCCAATTTCGTATGGTCGAAAAGTCGCTAATTTGGCGATGCACTCGGAGACAGGGTTCGGGCATAACCGAAATGAAGAGGCCGCCTAAAAGGGCACGCATATGATTGCCGATAACGCTAGGGCGCTAGCGGTTGGGTGTGGGGTAAAATCATCCTGACGTCCTGACGTGCTGCAAGAAAGGCAAGGGATCTTGCCCTGGAGGACAAGGGTAAATGAAAGGCAGCTTGGAGCGATGGTTGTATCGGACGCATTCTAGGCCCATGCAGTCGCCATGCTTGACGATGCCTGAACATTGTCCGTGGATTGTCTGCCGCAAGGTTTCCTACCTTCCCAAAGAGATGCACACAATATCGTAGTCATCCTGGAAGTTGTCTTGTAGCTGCCACAAGGAAATAACTTCGCTTGATGGCCCTGAGAGCACTCTTTCCCAGTTTTACCCAGTTGTTGCGACATCTGATACTCTTAGCACCTGGAACTGTTAGAGTAGACTGAAATGAATCCTTCGGCCCCACCCCACCATGAATGCACAGCCGTGCACTGAGTCGGCCCCCATCTCAAGGCAGACTTGGAGCGAAACCGGCGTATCTGAGCCTACCGATCTTTGAGCCATGCCTATCGTTTTGCACCTTCGGGTTATTTTGGGGGGCCGTTTTTAAGGCTGTGTAGTTGTGACCTACATACCTTTCGGCTGTGCTGTTTTCTTTTTAGATATAATAATTGATGCAAAGCCTCCGATTACATTTGACAAGTTTTCGCATTGTCAAAATCTTTTTCGAGCTCAATTGTCGACCGCGCTTGGTGAGCTGCATTCGTAGTGGAGGTCAGGCTTCGAGACGGGACCACACCAGCCCACGCCCTCCACGACAAATTGCTCTGCAATGTGGGTGTTCCTCCCAAACCCCCCACGAATGCTACTGTATCACTTCATCCGACGGACCATCCGAGCATCCGTTGCTGCTGCCGCCGCCGCCGCCGCCGCCGCCGATGCAAAGCAGATCGCTTCACTTTGGAGAATGGTCCTGGAGGCCTCCCATAACGAGCAACATCTTCTTTCGGCGACTCGCGGACAAAACACATCTGGGCCATCTTGGTACTGCAGATATCGATCGAATTCCTTCGCACAAGTGGAGTTGACCCCGGCACATGTGTAAGGGCTCCGGCCATATTCCTTACTTTCTCAATCTCGCCGTCTGATACCGTGACCCGCAGGTGTCCTTCGCTAGCAACGCCAAGATAGTAGCCAAGGGCAACCATCACAACGAACAGGCTGCCCATCGTACTTCAGCTCTTCGGCCCTATTCGGATAAGCTTTTTGAGTGGTCGGCAATTTGCTTGTCGAGACGAAGCTGTCGTACGCGTATGCGTACTGTCATGGGATGGTGTCCAGTCCTCCAGCGCCCTTTCGCCTTTTTGCCTACTTTTTGTTTTTTGTCACGACAATGGCGCATCGGCGCTCCGTGTTAAGGACTATGTCGCGTCGCTAGCAGCGTTCCCTGTCTTCGTAGATGTGCTCCACGGAGACATATCGTACGACTATCCTCGAGGGAACATACAGGTTGCAGTGTGCTGGTGATCCCGCCTTTCCTTGAACAAAGTTGGTTGAAATAAGGTCCTACACCGCTGCAAATGCCATCTGCGACATATTTGGAGCCACTCCCCGCGTTTCTGAAGATGCTCATTCATTTCGAAACGAGAAATCGCCTCAGGATTACGTGCGTGAGCTACCTTGTTTCATTAGAGGTTGCCTCCCAAATTTATTTTACTCACCGCTGTGCAGCATCTCTTCCCCAAACCACGACGTTGGTGAACAGACATCAGGGACTACTGTCCATCCATTCGCTTCTGACTCAGCGTCGCTCTCAAGTGGCAACGAGTGCACTCCTTCGACAAATCCTGCGTCCCTGCCATATCCAAAAGATCCTCTCGAGGACGACCTTCCCGTCCTCAATAGGAACCAAAACGTACGACACCGGAGCCGTCTCTTAAGGTTCTGCCGGTTCTTGATAAAGATTCGTCGAATGTATCCTCGAAGCCGTTCAGTTGTCAACGACGACCCCCCACCAGCTTACATGCCGTACAACCAAGACTGTCATTCCTCCAACGTCCACGAGCTTCCAAGCGATCATGATATTTCGGAACTTGCTGCGGTATCCAGACCTTTGGAACTAGAGAGCCCCATAGATCAAACCCCTGACTTGGCTCGCCATGCTAGCCAAGTGCCAGTAGAACATATATACCATGAGCACCACAGGGCTACAGAGCATAATGCACCACAAGGACTGAGTCGCACGGAGACATCGAGGCCGCTCTGGGCTTCAGATACTGTGCAGTACCCTGGTTCAGTGTCGGGTTCGACGATTTATCAGCAGCTTCAAAGGCCGTTACCTATCTCACCTCCCAGAACTCCTGATGCCTACAACGATCCCGGTACACAGCTTGGGCCTAGTGTGGAGCTCCACAGAGGTGCTCTGGTATATCCTGATGTCTACTCACCTCCCCAAGATCATCAAGATGAGTTCAACATGCCAATGCCGAGCCTGAACTATGCTTTTCAGCATGGACAGGCCTCGCACGCGAACATTAATCATGCAGAACTTTCTCTCTTCTCTGCTCAAATAACTCCGGTTGGGTATCAACAGTCTCGACGTGATAGCCATCCACACTACAACTCGTCATACCCCAATGCAGCCGAACCCTATAACGCTCGCGACAACACATTACTCGCAGCACGTAGCCCTGTAGGTAACTCTTGCGTGCCATCGCATGGCATGACAAGAATCCCACTTGGTGTTTACGACTTTGATGAGTCCCGCGGGTGGCAGCACCACAATGGATACGGACAGGAGACGAACGATTTCAATGCTGTCGCCTATTCGGCAAGGAAAGTAGATGCATCGTACACCTTTGCAAAGCTTGATGATCGTCAACACTATGAGGACCATGGGGGCTCTGGTTTGGATGCCGAAGAAGATGACGAAAGTCTTTCCTGCAGTCAATGTAGCACACTCTTCCATGGCAAGTACGTGACGCTACCAGACTTCATCATTTCTATGTTGGCGCTGACCAAGCATTTAGATACCGCAGCGGAAACTTGAGACGACATATTCGTGCCTTCCACAGTGTGGTGGCTTCGGTTCTCGGACTGACATGCCGTGTCTGTAAGAAGCAATTCAAACGAGCAGACGCTACCCGCAAGCACGAGTGGGAGCAGCATAGTATGCTTGACGTAAAGCCAAAGAGGAGGACAGCAAGCTAGTGCAGAGCACAATGCTTTGACTGGCTACGATACCCATTCATCGTAACCCAGATGAGGATCTGGTAATCCTCTTGCTAGGGTACTTGTGGCTGTCTATTTCTTTTCTACGACGCTAGCGTTGGCTCTCCTGGCTGGGGTATTCTGGAAGAACACATTTGTAATCCGCGAGGTTATCTTTTATAATACCAATAATGCTCTTTTCATATTCGGCTCGATATGATGCTTCCACTGACTCGTGAGAAGATGTATGCAAGTACATTTTTAGTCGCCGTTTGACTCTTCATGGCCCCAATTGCAGTTGCTTAACTTCAAGATGTCGATTCGTCTGGTTTTGATGTCATCAAGGTGGGCCATGTGGGCAACCCCACAAACAGGACCATGACCAGGATGCACTAAGGCATGTCGCAGCATACGTACGTGGGATTTTCGGCCTGCAGAATGCGTGGAAGCATGTTTACACGTGTATGATGCCGTCTCAATGCCTGTGTATGCCACTCGCCACGTGTATTACGCGTGACCGTCGTCTCCACCAAATCTATTGCAGCTCACAGCTTATCTCCTAGTCCCTCATATAGCCGGTTGGCTCAGGAGGCCCACTAGCGTGTATAATTGGGCATCCGCTAGGGATACGCGTCGATCCCTACGTTAAAGCCTTTTTTCTAGACAGCAGTGGGTAAGGCGGTTGGGTATCTTGATCAGTCCGGGCCCAATGACCTCGGTATCTCCGACACTCTATCCCACTCTTAGGCATGCATCAGGACAACACCAGGTGGAGCTGGGCGGCCCTGTTCATGCACTTAGGTCGGACCAACCCCATTAAGGTGAGTCGGACTGCAAGTCCTTTTTGGGTACTGGGCATGCAGTGAGGCTGAGTGTGCTGTCATTCAGATAGAAATCATTGTCAAGACTAGGAGTACTTGAGCATATCCCGAATAGCTGGTCACTGAAAAGTTGAGTGGCGGTGAGAAGCACAGCAAGCCTGGCACGAGCGTGTTGTGGTGGCGAATTACTGACCAGGACGATGAGCTCCTGCCGGGAAATAGAGAGTAACCGCTGTAATGTATGCGGCTCTGCTCCCAAACTAGAAGTTGCCCGCATTAATCCACCTTTGCGCCGGATTGTTCTACAAACAAAAGCCTTGGCCCTGTTTGATGTTTCCGGGGACATGTTCATCCATGTCAATCAGACCTTTAGAGGTCGACATATTTCGTAGATGAAGCTATCACAGAATGGAACGATGTGTGCGTGTGATCAGATACGGTGTTGTATGATACGAGAATACCAAGGTAGCCTTGCATCAATCCTCTGGCAGCGTGTTTGTTGTCGTGTCATATTTGCCACTCTGATGTTGGGTATCTGGGCTTTGAACTCGTGACTTTGCGGGTGCAGTTGTGGGCGCCCGGGCCTATAGCGCTGAGGGCTGGCTCAAATCCCTGTCATCTAATGTTTGGGGCGGCCGCACTCATTATTTGCTCTAGGCTGGGCGTATGTGTATTCGACATTTGCCGGTAGGAAGCGCATCATGTCGAAATATCTCCTCGCCGTTGTTTCAATTGACCGGGGAGCCTTGTTTCATTGATTGATCGGGTGTGTGGTGCCGTACAGACATGACGCATGCCGAGTTCGTGGTGGGGGTAGCTAGGTTCAACCCTTAACATGGTTTTCCGTATAGTACTTGAGTATTTGGATAGAGGCACACGCACAAGGACCACCTAGAAGGAATCAAGCGTAAAATGTGTTGCATGCAGTCTTTCCACTTTGTCAGGATTGCATACAACTCGAGTAAGAGGTATTCACGCCAGATGCTGCGGGAAGACTATGCGCACGGGAGGGCCGTCGCTCGCTTCTCCATTGCGGCGCGGCTAGCCGCAGTAACATGCGTGTGCGTGGCGTCTCACGCGTCGTTTGTGAGCGCTAAATCAGCGCTTTGCCATGACGCGAGGCATGTCCACCTCGAGGCGTCCTCATACTGAGAACCAGACGTGTAGTAGTATCAGCTGTGGCTGGAGACCGGGTGTGGTGAAGAGCGGCGTGTGTTGGCATAGCCAACTGTGAGCTTTTGTGTCACTCGTCCAGTTGCCTCGCCGTCTTGGGGGGTTCCACTGCATATTCATTGCCCGTGTGAGCTTCCCAAAGTGGACCTTGTATGCACACCAGGAATTTTAGCATCTTGCTCCAGGTGATGCCGAGTGGGGTGGGCTATTTCTGCAAGCCATGCATCTCGGATAGTACGAACGTTGAATGGCAATGAGTCGCCGTTATGTTTGGAACATTATGGAGTTTGCGCCGTCTCATATTGCTTTCAGCTCTATTCCTGGTACTGATGAGAACTCGTGGTATGCGTGCATCTGTAACTTTGGCACACGTGGCCGTCGTGGCCGCCTTTTTCGCCTTGTTGACACTGGGAATTACTGCTGAGCGGTTGGCGCATCCAGATTTCCCCCAGCTCATTGGATCATGGGAAAATGGCCATTGGAAAGACGTCCGTACGCATCATCTCATCCACGACATCCTCACCGCCCTACACCGACCCTCGAGTGTTTTCTGTCATTGTCATTGGCGAGACAATCTACTCCTAACACTGATGAGCAAGGCTCACCACTACAGCGCGGCAACCTGGGCATGCCTGACGTGGCGCTGGATGCATCCGAGGCTGGAGCGCCATCTGGGAGATTTCTGAAGGACGTCCCTCAAAGTCGGTAAAGGTCGCTCCCTATGATGCCAGCCCAATAGACCGTTTCGAAGCCTTATCAAGTAACTGACAGATTTGACTCCCTCTTAGTTCGAAGTCGAAATACCGGCCATCCGCCGTCCTCTGAGCTTGTTCCGTTGCGAAAAGTGAAGCTCTCGTACCGCACCGTCAGCCGCAACATATCCGTCGCCTATTCTCGACCCTCTTCCATCCTCAGCCTCCTTCTTTTAGGACCATACATCTCTGCTTCGCAAGCATAGCTTAGATCTTAGCATTTGGTAGACGCCTTGGATATCCCACGTCGGATTAACAGGCTTTCGACTTGTGAGCAGAAGAGACAAGCACCAGGTTGTTGGCAGGCACCGTTGGTCTTCGACAAACATCTGCTCGGCTGAAAAGTATGTCCATCCACACCCCTTCGCTCCTGCACACACTTACCGGGCACTTGGAATAGTTCTTGTTGGCACAGTTAAGCGAATCGTATATTACAGCCCGCATATACTGAAGTACGGACCGATCGAGTCTTTGGAGTCTTTCCGAAAGGCGGAAGCTTCTTTTCCAAGCCCCTATATCTTGAGTGGGATTGTTGCCGAGAACACGGTGTGATTCGCTATTCCAGTCTAGCTTGGTAGCTCACACTCACGCCTTCTCTCTCTTTTCCGTCTGTAGCAACCACTCGGAGCTATCTGAGGCCATAATATAAGGCCCCATATTTTTCAAACCCTCAGTCACGCGAGTGATACCTGAGATGGGTAGCGACTTCGATGAGGTAGATTGGCTAGAGCACCAACATCTATACCAAAACCTGTCGTCCATGGATGCCCAGAGCGCTGAAGGTACAGGTGTATACCATCCAAATCAGTGCTGGGCACCGTACTCTGAACATCAGCGTGAGCGTACTCCGGTAGAACATTGGGGACAAAACAGTCATCCAACAAGTACTCATCCTCAGCACCACGTAGGATTCGAAGGATACTCGGCTGAGCAACCGCCAAGCAGAGCAACGAACCAGGACCCGGGATCTATCCAAGTGAATGCTGTACACTCTGTTAACAGACCCAACGGCGTCTATGAAACGATGGAAAATAGACATGCACCACCGGTGCCGGCGTACAACCCCACTTACTATCAGGATGAGAGTGCGCCAATTGCTTACTCTGATACACGCATCCAGACGGAGTTCTCGCAGCAAGCCCAAACCAACTTTTCAAACTCTTTGCATGGCACAGCAAACTACTCGTGTGCTACGAATATTGACGCTTTGTCACACCTCGTGGCCCATGTCAATTTTGGAGATGCCTATGGAACGCCGAATAGTCCAGGCGGTGATCCTCAATCCCAGCAGTACTATGGCCAGGAATCAGAGATAGCAATAGACCCAGCACTGTACCGAGACGATGGCCACGGTTACATGGCCGAATCTATCCCAGGTTCCTCGTCAGAGGCCCATGATGGAATAGTCATAAGATTGGACGCCCCAAACTCGGAGCCTTGGACTGCAATCGGCCTAATGGATGGCGGCCAGACCACCCGTTCCACAAGGCAAATACCGACGGGAATGAGTCGGATGACTTTGGATGCCACCCATTCGATGTCCGCTTACGGTGATCCGAGCTCAGTCTCTTCTACGGGTAGTGGTTTCGAAACCCTTTGGTCGTCAGCGATACAGCCACTGAATCAGACGGACGATGTATCATCAGAATTCCTTTACTTCCCTCCATCTTCAGGGCCAGGAAGCCAAATTGGTGCTTCTGATTCTTACAAGTCTCCCTTGGGCGTCGCCTATACTCCTGAATCAAGAACCCACTCTCAAAATCAACCCTGGCTCATAGCGGAGAGAGCTGCAACAACCGCAAGGGCGCGAGGACATCTTGGCAGATACCCTCGCTCAGATCCTGGCAACTGCTTACGGCTTCCCGGCAAGAGACGGGCGTCTTCAGCATCATCCCATATCACTGAGGCTTTCTCGTCTAGTGCTGTATCCAGACCTGGTCAAGGCGTCCTGGAATGTGGTATGAACGGGTGTGAAGCCACGTTTACCGGTAGACACGGGAAAGGCAACAGAGCGAGACACAGAAGAGACTACCATGGAGGAAAGGAGCCCATCATTTGCGAAGACAGCAAATGCGACAAGGTCTTCAAGCGATCAGATGCTCGGCTGAAGCATTATAGGAGCCATCATCCTCATCTCGTGTGCAGAAACACACAGGTATCGCGTCGTGGAAGACAGAACTCGGCACCAGGAAACCTGGATGTTGATGCGTAAAGCATCTTCATTCAGTCCCAATACATCTCTTCCATCAGCAACAAGAGCCGGATGAACCCCTTCTTCTTTTTTGAATCTTGTTTTTTGCACGCCGGTTAAATGGTCAATGTTTTTCCTTGTCGATGGCAGGCTGATTGTCTGCTTCCCAAAATGCGGCTCCGCATCTCCCTCTTAGACCCGAGATGCTTAAATATGTTTCAGGTAAAGTACACATAATGTGTGCCCTCTTCCGTTGTCTTGTGCAATGCTGACGATGTAGCACAGCCCTGGTTGTTCTTCGTATTCTTCTTCCCTTGTAAGAAAGCCTTTCTTATGTGATTTCCTTTTTTGGCGTTTCGGGAGACGTTTGCTATCGACCTTCTTTGTATAGCTGCAAGCTCGAGTCAGTCGTGGCTGAGAAAGAGCTCAGCAAGCCAGGCAGCCGTGCACACCTCTCTTGCAAAGAGAGGCTAAACATGCGCTGCAACAGCACGCGAGTACCGATCAACCGTTTGCATCGGCCGTGCTCAATAAGAACAGCGAAGGATGCCGAAGTAAGCTCAGTTGATGGAAGGAAGAGTGTAGGAAAGATCGTGAGGTTCGTACCTATGTGGAGCTCATGCCAACAGGGTCTTGCGCTAAATAATACTAGCATAGCACGGACACAATGCTCGAAGCCAAGTCAGCCCGATAATAATCAGCAAACATGATAACTGCCGATGTGGGACCTGCAAGATGCCGGGGTTTCCATTGTCCCAAAGAACAAGGCAACCTATCACCACAGAAGACTCGCCTAACGGGAATCAGAAATGTTTGAGCGTACAAGCATGGATCGGACCGATGCCTGGCTACCTTCACTTGTAGTCGAAGAGCCTATCGCATAATATCTGTGAAGCCTGTTTCATCCCATGTTCCGAGCGAATCAAGAAGCACGGCGGAAGCTCCGGCATCCGTACACGAGTCGCATCGATTTCGTTCTTTTCGAAGAGAGAAGGGTATATCCATCATCCTCTTCGTTGGGTATGCTGCTAGGTGTCTGCTCCGCCGTAGCAGTAACATTGGGAGGTAGACTTGAGAAACGAACAAGCAAGGGCGGAGTTATTTGCGAACAACACAGCGTCGGACTTATATTTGTAGATGCCTGAAGTGGAGTCAGGAAGTCGCCGTTTACTGGAAGCCTGATGCTGCCTAGAAGTCGATTGGTCCGGTTGTGGTATTCGTTCTCATTTTATGGGTCCGTTGCCGAGTATTCCATATCGATTGAGTCCAATCAGTCTCAGGAGAGCTCGTTAGGCGGTCGACTGGAAAGCATCCTCTTCTTATTCAGGGCAGATATCTTCCTTTGGTTGAGAGAGCTGGGATGATTTGCCACATGTAAGATATAGGAGGCGAGTGGCGAACGATGGAGGAGTGGCGATAGACTGCATACGAGAGAGGATTGGTTGCACTGTTAGTTGAGCGTGCGCGTATAAAATCGTATCCAGGTCTTTCAGCTCAATATGTGCGGATACTCACAGCTCATAATGGCCACCACAGTCCCTTCCATTGCCCAGAATGGGATATAGTCCAAAATGTAACGTCAGGTGATGCAGGCTTTAATGATACAGAAAACGGCAATTGAGTCTTTTTTCTGCTGAAAATTATAGCGTCTTGGTAATCGATGGCAGTGTCTACAGTAGCGCCACGAAGGTGGCTGTGTAAACTCTGCTGTTGGATGCCGACATCTTCCTTTCGGTAATCCCGAACGACTCTCTTCTATTATGAAAAGTGCTCAATGGGCAGTGACAATATTATCGCTCTCTTTTGGAGACCTCAACAATATCCCAATATCGTTTGATATCGTTGTGTGGCTCTTCTAACGTGCCAGCAAGACTTGCATAAAAGTGATACACGTACATAGTCATGTTTCCTTTTCGTATCATCGGCTGCCAGGTTCGAACACGTGCAAAGATCATGAGATTTCCAAAGACACCGAGCTTTTCTTCTCTATCAAGGTTACAACTTTGACATATTGAGTGGTCAAAGCGTTTATGAGTGTTGCACCAAATTACGGAGCCATGGTCATGAGATTCGATTTGCATGTAGTGCGATGTGTAGCTATCGTTTTTTATATGCTGGCAGGTAGCACACCAGCATGCAATGCGTCGAGATCATATTTAGGTGTAACCATATCTAACAAGTCCGTTCCGCTGACCACAGAAAGATCGATGATCAAGCCCGAAGCAGTATGCATTTCTCTCGTGGCAGTCTGACTTGGATGTCACTACCATCAGAGTATTACGGCCCAAACAACGCCCCATTTCTTGCTCCATAAGCCATCTACCGGTCTTCCTTGGACTTTGAAATTATGTCGCCTGAAAGCTGGACGAAGCTAGCTGTAGTCGAAGACACGTCCGGTCGGGTTTAGCAACGTGCAACACCTGAGCCCAGTCATTTCTGCTATTACATGTCTGCACTCAGATAATGTGAGGCGTATACTCGCTTCATTCGCTTATACGGAAGAGATCAGTGATATGATGTCGATCTTAACGCGTAAGAGAAGCTGCAAATTACATTTCTCGGCGCCTTGGTGTTACATGGCTTCACTTTCAGAGCGGCCTGGACAGGATCCCTAGACAAAGCTACTGTTTGTCGAGACATATTATGCTCAAGTACCTTTCAACTCACTAAAGATAACCAAAAGATAGGCTGTCGGTCGGTGAGCTGTTGGTAAGACTCGGATAAGGCATGAGTTGGGCATCGCAAGTTGCTTGTTCATGCCTGATTTAGTTGCCCCGCGAAAACCGTGTCTCAACCCTTTATGCAGGTCGCTCTAAAAAAGTCCCATAGTATATATCGAGATCATAAATTGATGCAAGCCCTTACTACAGGTTTCTAGTACCATTAGAGCAGGCCACGCTACCGTGCAGCTAAACACGTCAGTTGTGGCTTAATGCGTCATTACGAACATCGCTGATTACAAGCATGTGAACAAAATTCCCAAGAAATATCAGCAGCCGGGGCGACCAAAGAATTCCGAGGAGATTTGATCAATCTCCCGGGACTTCATTGCGATTGCTCGTTTCCTTTACTGTCGAGATCTTGGCACAAACGCATAAAGCGGTGTGACGATTATACAATTTCACAGATTGGAACATCTGGTCACATGCACTGAAACTGTTGAGTCATTGCTTTGCAGTAACGGAGCCTATCACTCAAATTTAGACATGATACTTTTGTCGTTAATGAGAGGACTTGTATGTTGCTTTTTGGTGGTGTCGATCGTGTGGCTGATTGCATATCGCTAACCCCTGAGTGCAAGGACGCAAAAATGAGGCTATGCCTCACAATAGGACTTAGGAAAGATATTAGTGGCGGAGAATTCATTTAAGATTTCGCTCTATTTCAAGGCAGCCATGCTAATATGTCCACGTATAGGTGCATGCATAAAATGTGTGCTTGTATCTGGGTTGTGGTGAGTCATTAAAGCCTGGTCCTGGAGAAGGGTTCGCAAACAGCTCATCGTTGACTATAATGAATACGATATAACATACTTCGCATCTCCCATGTTTCGAGCTTACAATGCGTAAGACAACCAGCTTCGCATCCAAAGAAGACTTCCAGCATGCTCGTATTTATGCTTACATCATTTGCTAAATACGGACAAACGCGATGGGGCAAAATGCGTACCAAGATTCGAAATCAAATGCATAGCTGACTGTTATGATACGAAGGTCTTCAGCACGATAGCTGTGAATAGCTTCGGAAACTCCGATGTGGCGTGGCCAGTTTGGAGCTTGGAGCAGAGGTCAAATCACAGCTGTTCCGATCCTTCTCATCTCAATATTCAAACTATCTTCAGAGAAGGCACACAGCACTCAAAAGACAGGTGAGAGGCCCCGAATAAGACCAAAAACCTTGCTTGAAGGTTGTATGGGGCGAATTTCATTTCGCGCCACTGTCAGTCCTGTACGGGACGCACTTGTGATTGGCTTGACCTCGTCACCAATCAACTTAGATATGTGGGAGATGATCATCATAAGTTGGATCAAATAGCAGTTTTGGTCGCATCCATGACATTGACCGTGCTGTAACACACCGTTGTAACCCTTCAAATCTAACTGTCATTTTAGGTAGCCGAATTGGACTACTGGTCGCACATCTCATCTACTTTACAACATTTTCTCGCGACAATGTCCCAATAGCCTCCTCAGGCTATAGAATCGACTCCTAACTCTAGGCGAAACGTCTTTACTAGGCTTAGCCTCGAAGTCTTCCACTACCAGTTTGCTTTCCGTATATCCCATGACGGAGTCCTTCTTCCCTATACGTTTTCTTTCCACAGTCTGGAGATGGTCTTCCTCCTGAAGGATATGTTGGGAAAGAGTGCTAACGAGCTTCTCAACATCCTCAATGGTATTCGTTGCGCCAAATGTAATCCTTACCACACCAACAGGTATCCCTTCAACGATGTCGAGCTCCGTATTGCACCGATATCCCCTCTCAAAGGCCATACGCAACCACTCAGAATTTAGCTTTAATGCACACGATATTCCAGCGGGATTACACAAAGTGCCCGTACGAACATGGATAGCATGCTTCCGAAGGAAGGAGCCGACATGCCACGGACCTACGTACGATCCATCACTCCTATAAACGTTGAAAGCTATGGTTGCGCCTTGCGTTTGTGGATCGTCATAGCTCGAATCTTCCGATTTGTATATCCGGTACATTGGCGAATTGTTCGAGTGTCTGGAGTTGACGAGACGCTGATAAAGTCGATTGGCCAGCCAGCCCGTGTGTTTGGATACTTGTTCAAGCCCACCGAATAGATCTTGGTGTGTTGTAATAGCCAAGTTTAAAGCAAGTATGCTTCGAAATGCGATGGTCCCGTCCTCCAACCGGGCATGCAAGCTTGAATCCTTTAAGGCTACCCAGGCATCACCAAAGCATGTCGTCATCTCCGTCGTTCCGCCTCCAAAATACCTTCGGTTGTCGAAGACATGGCCAGCAGCTTTACGAACAATCAAAGCCCCAAGGTCTGGGAAACCAAAGATCTTATAGAAAGAAAGTGTAACAAAATCAGGGGCAAGGAAATGGTTGCTCAAATCCAAAGGGGTAGTTGATACCAAAGCAGCAACATCAAGCAGTGTATACGCTTTCTGGTGATTGGCCGAGGAGCGTAATTTTCCTGCCCATTCTAATGGAAGCCGTTCACCGTTCATGTTTCTACACGCGGTACGGAAGTTAGTGCAACTGTACAAAATTTTCTCATGCAGGAGTATTTGCTTACGATTGTGCTGGATAGGCAAATAATACCGGCCGTTGTGGGTCACGAAGGCTATCACACGTGCCGGAGAGCCAGTCAGATACCTCTTCATTGGAGGCAAAGCAGTGGCTATGAAAAGCTAGTTCGCGGACGCCAACTAAACTCGTATGACTGTTGCGATGATAGAAGTAGCCAAAGCTCTCTCTACATCCAGAGAAACCTTCCGCGACCAGTTTAATGGCTGCAGTTGCATTCGCTGTGAATACAACATCGAAATGAGCTGGATCGGCGTTGAACATCCTCAACACCTCACGCCTCGTCTCCTCTACCATTATGGCAGTATTGCTGGGATTAGAGGCATCTGAATGTGGATTTGCAAGAAGCGTAGACTGCATCTCACTGCAGAAGGACTGCATCAATGATCTTGACGCAAGAGTGGTGCCGCCATGATCAAGGTACGTCAGGCCTATTGGGTGTCAGCAACTGACGTGAGGTGGGTTGAGATTTAACACACCTCTAAGCATGGGGTATTCATGCTTCCGTATTCGACTCACTCTCTGGTTGTATGCTACTTGCTCATGATCATCACGCCAACACATCTCTTTGTGGCTAACAACTTTCATCCTTCCACCAAGCTCTTGAAACAGGCCCATGTTTATCGGTAAAGACCTATTCAGTTCAGGATGAAACAAAGCCCTGAAGATGAGAAGTGGGATAGATTGAGATGGCGTGTTGTCTCAACGCGGATAAGCATGGCCTTTTGAACCAACATACTCTAGATTATAAATGACCAAGTCAATTTGAAATGGCATTCTTCTCCTCGCCCCCGGATTCATTTCCATTAGGAGGATGTGGATTCGGTATTGCCTGCAAGAGTGCGGCACACCACGGACCTACTTGCGACTGAGATCGCTGGCCTCGATACTGAGTCAATTTACCATGATTACCATAGGTCTCCCGTGCCATAAGCGCCCCCATTATGACATGTAAAGCTTACTGACCATCAGTTCTCTCTACGTTAATGATCTTACACAGGCAGACTTGTCAGCCTAAAATACAAACCGAAAGAGGAGATTATCTCGCTCTGATTACTCAATTCGAGGAAAGCATGTCGCTGCGGTCCTCTGTATCTAGAAATATCCTCCAAACAGCAAGAGCGTGAGGATTCCAAACCTGTATCTAAGCCACACTGGTTCAGCAGCTTACTGCTTTGAGGCCGTGAAGTCAACAATGGCGATCGGCAGCGGCAGATACCATCCGGTGAGCCGAATTGATTTCTTCTAATGGTCAGATTGGGAATACAATGCGCATTGTTCAAGTATTCTAGAAACTTACTGCGGAGAATCGCACGCTAGACTACAAAAGTACACTCCTACATACACCACTATCACCGCGCCCTCCAGTAGTAAGGCATTCTTTCAAACCAAAACTGTTGGTCTCATCAATTTCACCTCGGCTTTCATAATTTTTTCATTTCTTGGGCAAGGCCAACATCAGCATGGCGTTGGGCTCATAGTCTTAGACACAAGCCACAATCGATTAGCCGCAGTCCAAAAGATACTATACTAAGGTGCAAGACTGGGCGTTTTACGTTAGCGCGTCATTACATTAGTGCTCACGCAGGCTTCTATGACTTTCCGTGGGTTGTATTCACGGATAAACCCTCGATTTCGTCATTGAGAGATGTTGGTTTGATCCTTCTTGTCATCGAACGAGTGCCCATGGGCAACACTGGCCCAAATTTCCCGTCCAGAGTTGTGAGTATCGCTCTCAACTATTCTAAACCATCTCACTTAGTCACAGAACTCGTGCTAACATTCCATATCGCGTTCCGGAAATGGAACGTAGATTGAATAACCACTAATCTGCGTCTCACCTTACGCTATCGTCGTATAGCTCACACCGTATTCATGGCCGTGTTAGACTTCATTACAGCAGTTCGCATCAACGTCAATAGGCTGTGGTCTTGTATTAGGAGTTCGGTAAGCCCGATCTCACCTCGCCCCCATGTTACATATTTCGACATGTTAAGAGCCGGTGGGTTGGATCCGCGCGCAACGGCACGCTGATCGCGCACGAGACATTCTGGACTTTACGCTAACGCTGTGAAACATATATGTCTCTTTTGCCAGGTTATAGTGAGTCCGAAATTTTGGGACGATTGACCGGCGGCTATCAGACCGTACTCACTGCGGGCTGGAAACTTCGGCACGGCATTCCTGCCCAACAAGAAAGCCGGGGTATGTCACAACCTGAGCAGCTGAAATCGGTTGAGACGAATTGGTGTGGTGAGAAATAGCGCTGTACAGTGAGAGGGTGTGCGAGAAGTGGGGTCGTAAACTACACTTTATCCAGCAGGCGCTTAGAATTTGGGAATTGCAAGCGAGGCTGCAGACTCGGCATATGCGTTCACTACTATAGCGCTTCCGTCTTTACCAGATCCGGGCCGTAGTCGTCACGCGCAGACCAAACGCATTACGCCTTTTACGGTTGGTTATACTCTGTGATCGGTAGTATTCGCGAAACTTGTCTTTTAACAGCGAAGGCGTCGCCAGCCACGTTTTCGGGAACCGATGTTCCCGCTGTGAACGATCGTTTCGACGACTCGCACGTTCAATGCTGAGTCTATTGTTACATAACTCTTGTCACGCTGAATCTTTGTCTCAGGTCTTTTGAGCAGTTGCTCTGTTCATGGTGGTACAGGATTCCTCGAGATTCAATGTCGCTAGACCTACTTGCTGTTTTCATAAGCTAGGGTTTCAGAGGGCCTTGATTACGAGCTCTCATTAGCGCTAAATTTGCGACAGTTCAGCTGTGAATAATGAAAAGGATGAGTGGCTTACAAGGCTTTGATGCAGCATAGCCGTGTGACCAACGTAAGCGCGGACCGCACCACATGGCTGTATCTGTAGGCATCCACACCATTACCATAAGGCATGTACGCAAGAAACTATGCAACAGTCCTAGACCAAATGCGTCCCTTCTCCGGTCAATGTTGTATGTGCTTGATCCAGGAAATCGTCCTCTACGCAAGCTGGTCAGGACACGAAACCCAATCAATCCAAGAATTGGCGCGCGAGTGGTCCAAGAACAGGCTTGCATTAACTCGCTATGACGGTATCAGCCTGGCAGGTGGGCAGAGCCTCAATGGTACTCATCCATGGGAACAGTGGGAACGACTTCATCCCTGATGCGCCTGGATGTGGCGTCCGTCCTGCATTGTAGCCCCAAAGTTACAAGGTATTCTTAGCTAGGAAGCAACCCTCCCCGCCCTTATGCAGAAAGGGGGGCAGTTAATAGGCAGGAAGTGAGCCATCTATGCTGTGGCGTGGATGCAGGAGCTCGGCTTAGCATTGTGATAAGAGGGTTTGCTTTCACTGTGTTGAGACTTGATGGGACTCCAGCTGTTTGAAAAAAAACGCCTAATAGTAGCACATATTCTGTCCCAAATCTTCATTTGCTACGTCAAGACGCTAGACATCCCCCCCAGAGCTATGTATCTGGAAAACCTACTAGCCTCCTAGTCATACATAGACTGTCTGGACACATCGTACGGTACCCTCAATGCTACCCACAGAGCTCTAAGTTGACATAACTATTACTCAAGCACAATGCCGACTGCGTCGCCATCATTCAAATCAAACCCTCTGCCGTTGTCGTATTACAATGAGCATGTCCGCCATGTAAAGGTCACTGCCTAAGCATATCACCTCCACATCGCCTGTATCGCCTGCAAAGCCCGCGCCTTCTGAAGGTTACTCGATGGAGTTCTGTATGGCATACCTATAGACACGCTGTACGACCATCACCCTGACCACCTCGATCACGCGAAGAAGACGTTTTGGCAACCATGCCTGAGTTCCAAAGAATACTATACATAGGGGGATTGAGTTGACACAGCCAAACCCATCGAAGATGAGCATCAACATTGTCTCCGCAAGGCAGAATCGGAAGAAGCCAATGGACCGATACATACGTCATCAAATGAAATGAACTCAAGCTTCGTCAAGGATTCTTCATCTTACCTGCAGTAGTCTGTCGGCGCTATGACGGAAGAGTACACAAGGGAGTGTAAAGGAGGATCGACAGATGCGCTGGCAAGATGAGGGAGTCGTAAAGCGAAACTGCAAAGGACACCACAACGCAGAGAATAGGGGGGCAAATCACTTCCAGCGCAAGGCTGTTCGTCATCTCTGATAGCAAGGATCTGCTATCACGAAGTGCTTGCGCTTCAGAACGCAAGTGGGAGTCAGTTCTCATACGATTGTGCTGAAGGTAGACACGCTACGTTCTGCACTGGTGTCACGATTGTAAATAATGGTTCAATAGTAAGAGACGTGTTCTAATGTGCCTATAGATGCGGAATTACGAAGTTACTTTGCCCTCCTCTTTGGGGCTAGTGACCCCGGAACAAGTGCCCGCCTGAACCACCTATTCACCTCGATCACCACCCTGGATCACAGAACACTGTAGACGATTGACCGCCTTATCCCCCGATAATAGAAGATGTCTGCTCTATCACCGTTCTTTTTTTTAAAAAAAAACATTCCGTAAATCACATCCTATGCACCGGGTCAGTGTTTGAATAGTACTGATAGGTTGCTGCCAAGGAAGCGGAGGACGAAGGTCCTCCCCCCCCCATACGTGCGTGTTAACTACCACGCAACCGCCGCCATCTCACACCCGACACAACTTGTCAACCAAACTCTCCACTTTCTCTTTTTCATCTCCATTTGCAGAAATTGTCGTTCGTTACCCTTTTCCATTTAGATACCGCCTTGCCTCTGCGTCCTGGCACCGTTTTATACTACGGTCGCTCTCATCTTCCAACCGGATAGAGGTGCATTAGGAGGAGGAGCAATCTCTCTGTACCTCTCAAACCCTCGATCTGAGAGCGCTTAAACATTTGAGTCTGGCCCAAATAGGCGGACAGGATTGCTCTCTCGTTCCCGCTCGGCAGCACACCATGCATCGACAACAGCTATCTGGTGGCTCAAACAGCCCTCCAAGGATGTATTCTCAAGCCCAAAACCGAACATCTCGTCCATACACCAACCTGGTAGCTGGCTATCAAAACCAGGCGTCAGGATCAAACCTTCAGCGTAGCTACGGGTTGACTCCATCCCCTCAACGGCAGCCAGGTCAACAAGTACCTGGTACTCAATCACAGGGAACAGGTCACTTGCCTGCTACAAGTGGCCTCACGTACGCTGAGGTTGTCCGGAACCACACGCCTGTCGCCAGCCAATACAGCTCAGCACGTCCATCGAAAACAAGCTCCACTCTTGCTGAAAATTTACAGCCTTGCAGCCCCCCTCGCCGCGGTCCTGGCACAGCACCCAGAAGGGACTACACGAAAGACATGACGGATGATATCATGTTAGATCCAGACTCGTTGTCTGATGAAGGGTTGCTTCTAATGTACACTAACGAGGGCGACTCAGAAGGTGCACGAGAGCCATCCCCTTACAACAGCATGGTTCCCGGAATGTCTGTGTTGCCAACACTTCAGGGGCCAGTTCTTGAAAAACTGACAAAAGATGATGGCCCTTGGTCAACTTTTCATCTTCAAGCAATGCCGCAAACGGGCCCAGGTGCATTTCAAGTCAACCGTATGGGTGAAGCTACTCACTTGGCTGCCCCTGGCATGTATAACCCGTCAGACTCGCAAAGATCCGGTCAATACATCGACTACAGAATTGCGCATGATCAACCCATTGAACCACGCAGCGGGTACGGACAAGCCAGAGGTAGACCTACCCAAATCATGGATCATCGGAGAATTCCCAGACAGGTTCATCCCAACCACCATGTTTCAGGTGGTACAAATCTCCGCCAGACCAACATAAATCCTCCTGCTTGGTAAGTAATGCTTTTGGTTTAGTGGGATGGAGTGACTGATGATAAAAGGTCGGGCGATGGCCGCTCCCACCCTTCCGCTTCGACGACCTCGATACCTCCCGAACATCGACATTGCCCTCACTGCGGCGTGCAGTTCAAAGGAAATAAGGACGGAAAAGGGAATCTTGCGAGACATATCCGGCATAAGCACACGGATTGTCCTCAGATCTGTTGCGACTACTGTGGTCAACTGTTTAAGCGGACTGACGCCCGTCTCAAACACCACCGGAAAAAACACCCAGGCTTTCCTACTCCCAGCTTAAGCTCTCAAAGGTCTCGTCAGAGCAGCATGCAATTCCAAGCTGGCACACCATATGACCTATACAGTAATGGAAGTCAAGGCTTAAATAGTTTTGAGGCATCGCAAGACAACACTGCAAACATGGGACAACCATACCAACATCCCAATGATCTCCTTGGACTTGCGGATCAGTACTAGGTCCAAGCCATTGCTGTACTAAGGTATAATCATAGATGTCATGCTGCATCTACTGCGATCCACCAACACACTTGGTACGGTGCCATTCTTACCGATGGTAACCACACACCACCACTCTACGAAAAATAAGATGGCACCTTGATCCAACCATGATCTCACAGCCGCCTCAATTCTCTGTCGACAAAACGGCACACTGCCTTAGTCATCGAGTCTCTTTCTTTCTTTCTTCTCTTGTATTTGACTGTGTTTTGGTTAAGACCAAAGACCAACAAAGACCAAAAACATTAGAAAAGACACCAACGACCTTTATGAGAAAAAAACGCAGCGCATTCCTTTACTACACTTCGTTCTCTCCACTCCAAAACAAACCCAAACCCAAGGAAAAAAATCCAATAAAACCAACAAAACCCACAAAAAAGCAAGACGTTCCACAACGCTACGCTCGTTCTTTACGACTATTCTTCCAACATTTTCACCACGAAATCTAGTACTCGCATGAGCATCATGATTTCTTTCTTGCGTTTCAACATCCGCTCGCTCGCGTCGCAAACACTAGGGTTTTGGTTTTTTTTTAATCAGGCGTTTGATACGTAGATAAACGAGGCACACGCAAAATCTTTTCTGGATGCGATATAAGCGACTGCATCATGGTGTTTATCTAAAAATTGATTTATTCGGAAGGATCTTCTGGACAAAAGAGTTGGATATGTTTCAAGGATTGGGGCTTTGTTTATTTTCTTGGTATACGATTCTTATGTTGGGTTTGGTGGTTTTTTTATGAGAGTTTTTATGGAGGATGGAAGGTTTAGTTGGATGATTGGATGATTGGATGGGTTTTTTTGTGACAGGTGAAGGGGAGTGGGTTTGCTGGTTTAGGTGACTTGAGGTCCCGTGACGCGTTCGTACCCTAGTAACGCGTTGATCCAACGACATTAATGAACTTCATGACTCATCAAACATTATTTGTATGATTTCTCTGATATTTATGTGGGAGTTTCATTAAGATATATTTGCGAAAGATGGTGTTGCAATGACTGCATCTGCATTGGACTTAAGGAAGTTTCTACATGGTGTGAGAGCTTTCCCTTGAAGTTCAGCATGTGAGACACACCCAATCAGGAATCATCATCGCATTTCATTCTTTCAGCTCTGATTTCTTCCACAAGATGACGCGTTCATGGTCCCAGCGGGCCAGTGTTGGCGAAATTACCAGTCCTCCTTGATGGCTTGCCACTGTGCGAAAAACCACCAGCCATTGGCTGTCGGATCATTGGTGAGTTTTGAAAGGAAGATGTTGGTTCTTGATTTAGGTATGGGTTCTGACGTGTTCCACCGAGGACCGGAAGGCGACTTCTCCGAGATTGAGAAGGTGTATCAACTGAGACATATTCTTTCTATGGTCAGCTTGACGCCCATGAAAACCACGTGTCCAAAATCAACACCATAGAATAGACTTACGACCACTGTGAACTCTGCTACCGAGACCGCGTCCATGCAGTTGTGAATTGAAAGGAGGACCAACGTGAATGCTGCCTTGCTGCTGTCGCCCACTACTACTAGAGCTTCTACTGATGACCCTCTTATGCAGTCTGTCGCCTGTCTGTTGTGGTGGGCCTGTCTGGCTGAAGTTCGCAGTACCAGACCGGGCGCCCGGCAAGCGGTCGATGAAGCGATCTCCCCGGGCTGATTTCAGCGCGAACTCTGCCTCATCACCGGCAGCATGGGCTACATGCGAAGCCATAACTTGGGCTTTGAGTGCCTGGTAGAGATTCTGTGTTCTCTGGTGTGCCTTGGTCTTTTCTTTGAAGGCTTCCGCAAATCCATGGTTCTTGGTCTCGAGCTCTACGAGGTCTGCTTGCATAGCTAAAGGTCATTAATTTCAAAGTCTGCTATTAGGGCATGCATGATGCAAACCTTGCATCTTGTCCTGAAGCGCTTTGATCTGCGCATTGGCATCGTGGATGAGCTGATCCATCTGCTGGCTCAATGTGTTATATTTTTCAGTGAGGCCCTTTGCGAGGTGCTCTTGGTAGATGATCTCTTGTGATGTCTGGTAACTATGAAAGGCCAAGCCACGGCTTGCACACTCCATGATGATTGTCGGGCTAAGGCCACTCAATACTGAAGTCTTGTAGTCTTCTGATGGATTGAGACCTGCAATGACTACATCATCTGGGTTAGGAAGCGGCGCGCTACATGCTGGACAGACTCGTTGCGCATTTGTCGATCTTGAAAGACTGGTAGCATCTGCACAATTGGTGCAAAAGATGTGACTGCATTTCTGTTAGATATGACGACACAACGAAACAAATACAAACCTGCAAGTTGTGACAACAGCGCGCTCATGGAGCTGCGTCCGACATTTTAAATCATTACAACGCAGGACATACTCCATGCTTGGTGCGGTGGCGATTTAAAGAAGCTCTAGGGTTGGTGGGTGAAGGAAATGTGCTGTAAACACGAAAGCACGTGATCAATTTCGCAAAGCAGGAGCGACCAGGTGAGTGTATATGCCCGTGTAAGAGGGTAATTTCCATTCCGGGTCGTAATGTGGTATCTCGCTGTGCATCAATGATAATAAAAAATAGACTGTCCTTTTTCCTTTAGCAAATCACCTATCGTCCTTGTCAGGCTTTCGCCGTTGTCTTGTGCTCTTCTTCCCAGCTACTGCGGTTTCATCCTCCTCTTCATCACGACCCTTGGCCAGATCCTGTTCGAGGCCCCATTCCTCGTTATCATACCAATCCTCGCCATCACTCATCTCTCCTACATGGCCTTCTGCTTTCGACCACTTGAAAACGTCGTGCCTCAGACGGTCAGCTTCCAGCAAGCCGTGGTAGAGGTCAGCCGTGATCCGCGCGACTTCTTCTTGCTTTTGAACGTATGCCATAAGAAGCATGCGCGTTTCCTCTGCCTCGTTTGGCGGAAGACCAAAGTCGCGGTCTGGCAACGACTCGGTAGGGTGTATGAAAAGGGGGTGTATCGCGTTGACATCGCTTGATGGTGAGTGAGGAGGAGAAGGGGTCGAAGCTGCGTGCGCTCGAGCTCGCGTGCGTGTCGTCATCCTATGCGTCTGCTGCGATGCTGTGTCGGACACATCTTCGCCCATCGGAGAATGCTCTTCCTGGCCATTCTTTTGCGGTTCATCTGCATCACCGGTATGTGTCCCATTTGTCACGGGTTCGGCACCGTTGACTGCTTCGGGTCCAGCGTTTCCATTAGTATTGTCTACTCGGTCAGTCCCATTGGGCTGTACGGCGTCCTCCATATTCACGTCTTGTGCACCATCGACCGCCTCCTGCATTTCAGTGTCATGTGTGCGCTGGTCTTCGCCCTCCTCAAAACGCCAACTTGGGATTCTTGAGCGTGGCATTCGAAATGGTGTATCGCTCATTGCTGCCAGGGCAGCAGGCGCGAACATAGAATCCCCTTGTAGTTTCACAAACAGGTTCTTGGCTCGCGCATTGGTGATCTGCTCTTTTCGCGAAAGAGCTCCGGCCTCGTTGGCAAGATCGGAGAGATGTCTGGAGGTATATGCAACGCTCAAGGCGGGATGGTTTGGTAGGTCGGCGGCGGAGGTCAATGGTGCAAGAAGGTCTGCATCTCAGTAAGCTCATGTCATGCCACGCATTCATGCGATGGGCACATACTCTCCAGATGTATATTTCCGTACGGGTTCTCTTCTACTGGCTCCACATCATCCTCGTCTTCATATTCGTCGTCAACTTCGACAACGTCACCATCGGCATCGTATCGCGGAGGGTTGCGCTGCAAAATATATCTGTGATAACCGGCGTGCTCGATGCGCTACGGGAGGTCAGTCGACTGTCCCGCTCAGAGGTTATGCAAGTGGGATCGGACCTTCTTGTAAGGACGCGGGTCTGCGAGAAAGTCGGGATCGCTTGCGCGCGCGTAGTGGACTTTGCGCCGTAAGTCCTGCTTATTGCTGCCGAGGGCGGTTTCGGAATCTTCTGTGTCCGCTGGTAGGTGTTAGAATAACGGAAGCAGATGTCGCTATGTACGCTTACAATCATCTTTGCGCAACATCTTCCTCTTCATGTTGAAGATGGTATCGAGGATTTGCTGCTGTTGGCCTGCCATGGCGCTGACAGCCTCTGGGCAGCGCAGTAACAAGAAAGTATGTGAATAACAACTGGAAGCGCGTCTAGACAGAAGGTGCACCCGCTTTGGCGCTTGTAAGGAGAGGAGACTAGAAAGACACGTCGAACGAAAGGCGGATTATCGGTAGGAGCTGTCCACAAAGCTTGGGCTTGGGTAGAGGAATCGTTCAGCGGAGAGACGAGACAGGGTTCACTTAGCGCATCATTCATAGATTCCGCCCGCAATCTGACCACATGCCGACCGCCGATGTCATGGCTCGCCAACAATCTCTCGAGAACGTGCCAGGGCCCAGCAAACCGCGATTCGACTAATAACAAGACTGCAAGGTTAAGCCTGAGACCAAATCCACACGAGAAACTGGCGGCCTGTTACGCGATCCTCGAATTGGAACTTGCAGCCCCTCGGCCCCTCCGACTAGCATCCAGCTCACTCAAGCTGCCTGTGTTCTTTGGGCATGGGGCGCTGACTTGAGCCTACGTAGAGAATGGAGGCCTTTCCTTCAGACTTTGTGGTCCACAACCTACCTCTGATAGTCCTCTCTGGTCTGGCCACGAGCAAAGAAGTCGATCCACCCCCACCTGTTCAGCAAGTGCTTCCTGGGAGGGCCGTTACAAACATCAACTCGGAGATAGCGCCCGTCGAAGGCGAACGCGCAAATGAGCTCCTCGCCGAGTTTCTGCGTGCCGATGCAACCAATGCGCCGTGGAATTCGCGGGGGCTGGGTCGCAGAGGCCTCACGTACAGCTTCAGGATGCGGAGTGTAGGAAGGGTACGGGCGCCCGCAAACAAACATGGCGAAGGAGCGACGGGCTGATGTCTGCTAGAACTTCCAGCTGCCCCCGCACAAGGCAGATGCGCCCTCTCACTCCGAGACCACGCCTCCGGGCAGTCCCACTATTGCTGCAGCGACGTCGTGGATTCTGCATTCACCCATATCGCCCCTCTCGCCCGGGGCCCCCTCTTTCCCAGATGGTGTCATCGCTCCAGCCTGGGTTGCGAAGCACCAGCACTACATACCCGCCGTTTTCGTTTCCTTTTTCAACTTCACCACCGACCCCATTACAAATAGCCTCCATGACAATCAGCTGAAGACAGAGATCAACAAGATCAAAGGCCAGATACAAAAGTCCGACTACCGCACAAAGTATGTGGTGGTGCTGTTGAGCGACAAGACTATACTGGAGGCACCAGATATTGAGGAAAGGCTTGCGACCATCCGCCGTGCGACGGGCCTTGACCCAAAGAACTCTCTCTTCTTCCTGCCCCCAAGAACATCACGGGTTGAATTAGAGGCATTCGTCACGTCAGTCCTCGCCATATTACACCCTGTCTGTGTAGAGTACTACCGTGACCTCACAAAGCATGCACGGAGAAAGAAGAATCGAGGCACTATCCCTCCTCCCACAGCACCTCCTACGCGTGGAACTTCCCAGACACTATCATATCCTGGGTGGGGGGTTCGCTATGACTTCAAATTAGCTATCTTCGCCGAATTTCGTCAGGAGATGGACGCTGCGCAACGACACTACAACGCTGCTTTGGAGGCTCTGTTTGGAGCCGAAGGTCTATTTGAAACTACAGCCAGCTGGTCACCAAGATGGGATGAGATACGATTACTTTCAGACATCATCGTCTTACGACATATTCGCTGTCAGCTCTGGAACAACTACCCTACTTCTGCCGTGCAGACGTGGCTGCGGTACAAGTACAAGCTGCAAGATGTTTTGGATCGCCGAGGAAAGGGCACTGCAAACTATGGCTGGCAAGCATGGGAGTCTAGGTGGGCCCAAGCCATGGCAGAAATTGTGCAGCGGACAGATTTACCCGTCTTCAAGACGACAGATCCCAAGTCAGAATCAGACCCTTTGACAGAGATTCCAATCTCTCTATTCTCAGAACCTGAAAAACAATTTCCAATGGGAGAAAGATTGCCGCCATGGGAGCTGCTCCACCACGCTGGTTATTGGCACAAAATCGCCAGTGATCATGCCAAGAGGCGTTACATCCTGGCTCGGGAAATGCCTGAAGAAGATCGGACACCGCCAGGCATGTCTCCTGCTGCGAAGGTATCATCCCGGAGTCAAATATACGATAGCTATCTTGTTCCACAGCCGCATGAAGAGTACCCATTACCTGGTGTTGGTGGGAATGGCTTCGAGCATTGGAAAGACATTTCTTCCAAGATGAACGATGCAATAGCTCAGTTCAAAGCCCGGGGGCAGCATCGTAAAGTAGACCAGTTACAATTAGAGGTCGCCCGGACACTACTGCATGTCAACAGGTTCGAGGATGCCTTCAAGGTACTACGTCCACTCTGGGAGACCATGTCCTGGAGGAAAGAAAAGTGGTGGAATCTCGCTTCAGAAGTAGTTTGGGCCCTACACGAGTGTGCTTTGCGGGTGCAAGATTCTGAGGCCTATCTCGCTACTGAATGGGAATTGTACAGCCAAAGTCAGTATCGTCATGCGTTAATGATGTTGCTCCCGCTAATTCCATTCAGCAATCCCTGGCAAGACAAAGTACAAGTACGATCTCATGGCATGCTTGGACTCTTTCACAAAAGCAGCAGATGGCAAAATCACAGTGAACCTGAATGCTAAAGAACACATCTCTTGTCGTAGGTGCGACCTTATCTCTCAGTAGAGCCAGTACTAATGGAACAGTGTCTGTATCGTTTGCCTTTTCTGAAGCCGAAGGGAACGTGGGTGAACCGCTACAATCGCAGATTGCAATCACTTCGAACGCTCGCCCAGGGTCTACGCCCATTACCTTGTCATTTTTGCAATACCAATTCAGCGGCGGCTTGGCTGAAGTTCGCTTGACACACCAAGAAGGCGAAGAACCCTCTGACCATGCCTCTAGGATGTACTCCTGTACATTAGATGAGGTCCAATCAGCGACTAGAAAGCCCCAGTGGACAGGAGCCGCTGACTTGACGTTATATGCTGGCCAGACCAAGGTTTACAGCGTACCGCTCATTTTCCGTGAGTCTGGTGACGTCGACGTTACCGCTTGCGTATTGGGGGTTAGCACAGAGCGATTTGAACTCGTCTCCTCTGACACAGATATTGACATCCCCATTCATCCACTCTGGTGGATCCAATCAAACAAAAAGATCAAGTCAAGATTGCTGAAGCATGGCTCGGGCATGTCAGTTCACATACTTCCCAAACCACCAAAGATGGAAATCAGCCTACCAGACATTCGCGATCAATACTATACCGACGAGCAGGTCACTCTTGCGATTGAGATAATCAATCAGGAAGACGAGGATACTGAAGCTGTTCTCGAAGTTCGAATCCTTGGTCGCTCGAAAGACTCTCTCGGGTATACCTGGGTTGATCGCCCAGCATCGTCACCGATGAAGGAAGTCCCGCCAGCGCTTGATGGCTCGACCGATGTGGATCTGCCGGGTCATGTAGTCGGCAAACTTGCTCAAGGGGCACGCACAACAGAGAGAATACGCTTTACTGCCCCGGCCGACCCAGCAGACTACGCGTTAGAAGTCAAGGTTTTATACCACGTGCTCAGCGACCGCGATATACCTATCTCCAAGATCATGGTGGCAGACATAGTTTTCAACGCCCCCTTTGAAGCCAGCTACGACCTAAACGCACGTGTGCACCCCGACCCATGGCCCAGTTACTTTGAGCTCCAAGAAGCCGAAAGCAACGTCAGCCCCGAATCGTCCGATGCATTCGGCATAGCCCAGAAATGGGGCCTACGTGCCAAAGTCGCCTCCTTCGCCGACGAGCACCTCATCGTCAGCGACCTCGCCGTAGAAGTCCATAGTATCCACGGGGGTGCCACCTGTGACGTGACGAAAGAATTCGAAATTAGCGAGACGCGCATGGAGCCTCAAGTCCTCAGCGAATGGAGCTTCAGCCTCGACATTCGCAAAAACAATCTCGAAGAACGACGCTCCACCGCTCTCGACACCACACTCAACATAACTTGGCAGCGTACTTCAGACCCTTCAGCCCTCCCCGTAACCTCTTCCTTGCCTATCCCCCGCATCCAGATCCCCTCATCTGAACCCCGCGTCCTAGCCCGCTCCCACTTTTCCCCCTCAGTCCCCTCCCTCATCCACCTCGACTACGTCCTCGAGAACCCAACCATGCACTTCTTAACCTTTGAACTCGCAATGGAAGCCAGCGAGACTTTCGGGTTTAGTGGTCCCAAGTTGCGTACGCTGCATCTTTTACCTATGAGTCGTCAGACGGTCAGATACAACTTGCTGTCGAGCGTCGAAGAAGACTGGATTACGCCTAATTTGAAGGTTACGGATCGATACTTTAATAAGACGCTCAAGGTGCAGGGTACGGAGGGGATGAGGGCGGATAAGAAAGGAGTGGGGATTTGGGTTCCCGGTGGGGACGTAGAGAGCGAGGGTGGAAAGGCAGAAGAAACGGTGGAGGGTTAAGGTGAGAGGTTCAGTGTAGACGTAGGAGAAAGGATGAAATGTATCCAAGTTTTTTTCTTATTCGTTGATTACAACCATGCTGATATACATAAATCCAAATGCATCAAGCTATATCCCCTTTTCATACCCCAACCGACGATATATGCAAAAAAAAACCCCCTCAACACTCAAATCCCTCCTACTCCGCCTTCCCCCCTTCCCCTCCCCAACCCCACAGGATCCCTCCCGGGACTCCTCCAATACCGCCATAAATCCGCATCATCGCCCCATTCCCCCACCGCATGCTGCAACCCTTCCTTCCTCTCTTCAGCATCGCTACTAGCGCCGGTCGGAAAAAGCCTGGTGATACGCGGCGTTAACATTGTAATATCTATATTGATCTGAGACGTCATCAGTTAATGCGGTGTTACTGGATGACGACGGGGTAGAAGGAGAAAAAGGGAAAGCATACTGTTGGTGGCTGTGGCCAATGTCGGAGTAGATTGGGGTTTCGAAGTCGGTGGCTGCGTGGGAGAGGATGGTGGGATCTATGGGGGGGATTTGGGTTGAGGAAGGAGGTTGAGATTGTTGAGGAGGGTTGCTGGTTTGGGTGGTGGGGATAGTGGAAGGGGTGGTGCTGGGTGTTTGGTGCTGAGCAGCGGTGGTGCCTTCGACTTCGACAATCTTGTCTTCCTGAACTCTGACTTCGCGGTCGCGCAGGCGGCGCATGAGGCCGAGGAACTGTGAGTTTTGGAATTTTTCGCTCGTGTTGTCTGCGACGCGTTCGAGCAGGCGTCCTGCGGTTGCGGCCATTTCGTCGTCTTCGTTTGGTCTGGGCTGTTCTTGTTGCTTTTGCTCTTCCTCGGGCTGTGGCTCCATGCGTTGGAGTGGCTCTGGTGTTCGCATGTAGCCTGCTGCTTCGAGGTCTTTCCAGATTTGCTCTTCCGACATGGGTACGCGCGTGCCGAGGGGGTATTGCGACATGAGGCGCTCGTTGATTGCCTTGATAAGGCCTTCGGCGCGGGTCTTGACTTCTTGAGGAGCATCACGGTTCACGATTCTCTGCAGGGAATCGACTATCCACCTTCCTTCGTTTGCGTCTTGTATTAGGGACCCATTGCGCTCCATCTGGCTCATATTCTCCAGGTATGCGACTGCTTCAGAAGTTCGTCCAAGGCCCGTTTCGCTCCATACTTGGATGGCAGAGTATACAGCTGGAAAGCACAGTCAGCAACTGTAGTGAGCGCGGCGGATACTACAAACCTGGACGCGTTTCACGTATCCGTTGAAGGAGAGGATCCATCTCACCCGGCCGGTCCAAGTCCAGTGCTTCTTGCGCTGGCTGTGCATGTGCCTGCTCTGCTTCGACAACCTCCATCATATCTTGTTGCGCCTGCGCAAACGCCTGTTCAAAGGCCGCCTCGTCGAAAGCGGGTACATCATCTTGCGCCCGCTGCTTCCCCTGTGCCACGTCGGACATTTGTGCGTTCTGGAAACTTGGTGTCTGCATGAACGCTTGTCCTCCAAATCCACCCATGCCATACCCCGACATACCTCCAAAAGTGTTCTGCTGTAACGCGGGAGCCTGCGCGACCGGCGCCTGCTGCTTCAAGAAGTCCTGATGCCATGCTGACGCCGCGCTTGCTTGTTGCAGTCTTTGTTGCTGAAACGCTTGTGGAGGTGGACCGCTAACATTCAGACGCTGAAAGTCAGCAGCCCAATCGGGTGCTTGAGGCGCTTGCGCGAAGTGCGGAGGAGGTTGTGCGAAGCGTGGAGCAAACTGCTGGAAGTCTTGCGGCGGACCAGGTTGGCCAGCCTGAAAGGCGTCAAACTCGGAATCTAACGCCCCTACATTTGGCCCTGGTGCTGACCTAAACCCCTACATGACTGTTAGACTCCCACATTGTATCCAGTCGTCCCGAATAGTGACATGCCTGCGCTGGTGATTGCCTGCCGACCAGCCGGTCTTGCTGCAGTGTCCGATCAACGGTCGTGTGTTTTTGGAAATTCTGAAGGGCATTCGAAGGCCCGCAAAGCGCGTCCGCCATGATTTGAAAGAAAAAAGGGTATCAACGCTGGCTAAAACAAATGGTGAAAGATGCTTGGAACTTGGTCGCAGCGAACCGTGGTCGTGTTCTGATGATCAAAAGCCGAGGCTCGCGGGAACGAACCGAAATCGCCCCACGCCCTTGCATGCCGTCACATGCTACCTGCGACAGGCCTGACAACCACGTACCACGTGCTATGCTACTCTCTTCACGTTATGGTTTAAGCCAGCTGGAACTACGTAGATGGGATGGCACTAGTGAGGCCCTGGTCACTAGATGAATCTCATGCAAGACATCAGAAGCTAGGTCAAGCATACGTTACGTTCGCATAATCGGTTCAATTCACTCGCTACGTACGTGCATACATACAACAGAGAGAAGTCAAGAAGAACAGAACAACGTCTGAAAGCATCGAGAAAAGAAACAAACTGGTATATCATAAGTGAAGAAGAACAACACGAACAAATGCAACAGTTCGACGGCAGCCTATCGCCAAATCATATCTCCCAAGCTCACATTGGCTCGGCCAGAAGATACACCAACGGCACTCCTGGAGCGGGATCGAGACTTCCTACGCACAAAGGCGTACTCCTTCTTGCCCCTGCTGTCGCGACCTTCGGCCTCGATGAAGAGCTTGCTGCCGTGGCTCGAGCGAAGGCGGCGTGTGTGTTCGAAAAGGATATCCGTCTCGCGTTGCGACATCTCGCGAAGCACAATAATGTACTCTGGGTTCTGCTTGTCTGTTAATACTAGGTCAACTATCAAATACACATCAAACTTACAACATCGTACTCATAAGGAATGTCATAGTAGTGGAGGGTCTCGACGTCAAGATGGCTGACGTGGACCTTGGCATAGGTTGGCGTAGGTGCAATGGCATGGTGTTGTTGGTAGTGTTGGTGGTGTTGTTGTTGTTGGTGGTGATGAGGCGAGACTGCAATCTGGGGAATGGGGTTGTTTGGTAGCATGCCTTGTTGCAATTCGCGTTGCTTCTCGGGATTCACGAGGACTTGGATCTGGTTGTCCTGGAAGCCGAACTGGGAAAGCCTCTTGCGCATTGCCTCTTCAAGCTCTTTCTCTTGCTCTTCCTTCTTCTTCTTTTCTTCCTCTTGCCTCTCCTTCTCTTTACGCATGAAGGCATCGTACTCTTCCTTGTCCTTTCTCTTCTTTTCTTCCTCCTCCATCTTGAGCTTCAGAATCATCTCTTCTCTCGCCTTCTTCTCCTTCTCGGCGTCGAGGATCTTCTTGCGTTCATACTCGTAGATGATACGGTCACGCTCAGCCTGGGCTTCGGCTTCGGCTTTGGCCTTCTTTCTCTCATAATCCTCAACAGCACGCCGCTGTGCTTCCTCTGCTTCCCTTGCCTGCTTGGCCAGTTTGGCCTCATTCTCTGCAATGATGCGCTTACGCTCTTCTTCTTTTGCTCTCTCTTGAAGCTCGCGCTCCCGCGCCTCTTTCTCCATCTTGGCCGTGTTCTCGGCAATGATTCGCTTACGCTCTTCCTCCTTTGCCTTCTCCTGAAGCTCACGCTCCCGCGCCTCTTTCTCCATCTTGGCTGTGTTCTCGGCAATGATGCGCTGGCGCTCTGCCTCCTCCTTTTTCTTCTTCTTCTCCAAGTTGGCTAGAATTTTTTCGCGTTGTTCTTCTGCCTCACGCTCCTCCTGGGCTTGCTTGAGTCGGCTCTCTGCAAGTATGTGCCTGCGCTCTTCGTCCTCCTGCCTCTTTCGTCTCTCCATGTCAGCCAGGATCTTGTCACGCTGCTCCTCTGCCTCGCGTTGTTCGCGTGCTTGCTTCAGGCGGGTTTCTGCAAGAATATGCTTGCGCTCTTCTTCTTGCTCTCGCTTCTCTTTCTCGAGATCGGCGAGGATCTTGTCACGCTGCTCAGCCGCTTCCCGCTGCTCGCGAGACATCTTTGCTCGGTTCTCGGCAATGATGGCCTTGCGTTTCCTCTCTTCTTCAACCTCCTGTCGCTCGCGCTCGCGATCTTCGCGTTCTCGCTTGAGGTCCCACTCGCGGCGCATGTTCTGTTCGAACCTTCGAAGATTCTCTTCCTCACGCTCGCGCTCCCGTCTGTCGGTGATGTACTCAAGCTCCATTCGGCGCCTCATGAGCTCTTCGCGGTTCTTCATCTCATCCTCCTGTCGTTCCCGCTCGAGCTTTTCCTCGGCCTCTCTCAGTCGCTGCTCAGAGAGTGCCAGCTTGACCTTGTCTTCGGCGCTGTGGTCAGGCGAATGATGGCGATGGTGATGCTGATTGTATCGCTCAAACTGGCGTCGCTCTCGCTCTCGCTCCCGCTCGAGTTGTTCTCGCTCCCGGTCTCGCTCCAGGTGGTCTCGGTCTCGCTCTCGTTCCAGTCGGTCGCGCTCTCGCTCAGTTTCGTATCGCTCTCTTTCACGCTCATTCTCGAGATCCTTGAGACGCTGCTCAGCCAAGGTGAGTTTAATTTTGTCGGCATAGTCATGCTCTGGCGAAGGGCGGCGCTCGTGGTATCTCTCTAGGCGCTCTCTTTCCCGCTCCAACTCGAGATCTTTGAGCCGTTGCTCGGCAAGGGTCAATTTGATCTTGTCGGTATAATCATGTTGTTCAGGCGTGTGGCGACGTTCTTGATACTCGTGTCGGGAGCGAGAACGCTGCTCCTTTCTCAAGTCTGCCCTCAGTGCAGTGATTTCCTCTTCGAGCTCAAAGGCACCAGGCATGTTGCGCTTCACCTCGAGCCTACCGCGGGGGCTGGAGTCACGGCTCTTTTGCTCGGTACGTACTTGGGGGCTACTCTCATTGTCCATGCGAGTAGTGTTGTAAATGGTCACGTTGGGAACTGGCGCGTGACCTTGGGAGCGAGTACGGTGGAGAGAGGTAGTGTAGTGTACTTCTGGAGCCAGGAACTCACTGGTACGACGAGCATGATCGGGACGAAGGATAGCGTCGTCTCGAGTCTTTGTTGGCGGCAGAGGGGATGAGCCACGGACATGGCGGGCGCTGGCCGTAACACGATCCCTCGTCGAGCTGTACCACTCGTCGTCGCCGTAGCGGTCATCCCACGCATCAGAGAGAACCATGATGAGTGTGGGAGGCAAGGGAATGTGGGGAAAACGGACAAAAGGTGTTGAGTGCTGGAGTGCAAAAGGTACAATGGTCAAGGAAGGCTGAAATCAGTGCAGAAGGCTTTTGTGTCTTTGTCTCGGGTGCGGCGTGAGCAGCAAGCGAGGTGACGCAAGTAAGCAGAAAGGAATCAGCTCGAAAGTGCGGCAGAGGGGATTTTGAGAGGAGACGAGGGCGCGCTCATGTCACAATTTTGGGGGCTGAAATGCTCCCGCGATGCAGCTAGTCATCAGGCAGCTGCCGCCAGGGCTGAGGCCGGGGGCACTATAGGCGCTGGTCTGCTGAACACCGACTAGCTTGTCGCCCTTGGCCAGCTGTCTGCAGCCAGATGGGTGGCGGTAAGCATGCTGAAATTACAGTATGTCATCCTCTTTGATACTGTCATGGCGTGTTGTGTGAATAATGGCCATGTATATGCCGTGCAGTGCAGGGTGGAAGAGGCCGTGTGGTATGGTGGGGGCGACGTCCTAGTGTGGCGCCGCTAGGAAATAGGAAAGTCTGCTTGGCACACCCCTCTTTCCCATTGCAGTCGCGGGGGGCACAATCTCCGTCACGTGCCCGCTATCTGTGCTGTCAGCCTCAGCTCGGCCACACTGAAGCAAGCTCGCACTACCCATTCATCACATGTCACTCGCTGTGCGCTGTTCGCTGTGTACGCGTACAATGCTCTCGAGATACATGCTTAGCTTACCAGCGCTCCATGAAACAGGCTGCTCACGTGCAAAGTAAGCTCTCAACTATGTGTGGCGCCAGCGACATCGGCTATTTCTAGCCCCCAACCCAAAGATAGCCATCCCAGGGATTGGTATCCAAAGATAGCTCTCTCAGGAACACCAAATTCATGCACCTGCTGCAAGTGATCGGGAAATTATGCGTTTTGTCCTGATATTCGAGTAGAGCGAAGAGATACCTAGTCAGGGCCCATCAACGCCGCCGCCCATGCACTTACATGTCTATAATACAGTATGCCGTTAGATCTTATCCTCGACCACCTCTTTGAGGCTCGCCGCGCGTCGAATCAGTTCTTCGTAAACGGTCCACGCGAGCGCACTGCTCATCGCTTTCCTGGCAATCCTAATGCCTAGCCCGTCGAACAAGCTTCGCACCCCTTCCTCGGCAAGCATCTTCTTACCTGCTTGTATCGTGTTTCCGTATTGGTCAGGCATGAGTTGGATGCGAGTCTTGATGGCATCAAACGGATTCGTCACCGTTGTCCCTAGGCCAGCTGCCGCTACTCCCGAGACAAAGTTGATACCGGCTGACGTGCTCGACGAAAGCTTGGTCGCTGCGCCCGACGTCTCCTCGATTTTGCTTGCCAAGCTCGACAGTCTTCGCTTCGACTGCTCGTAAAACAAAACATAAAGCCCTGCATATGGCGCGTCGCGGACCGCAGTTGCACCAAACCCAGCAAAAAAGCCCTTGAGTCCCTCTGTGCGGAAAATGTCTCTCGAAGCGGAAAACATGGAATTGTATGCGTACAGATTGCTCTCATATCGCACTTTGAGGACCGTAATTGGCATCATGACAAAGCCGGCCCATGTGCGTGCAAATGCTCCTGTAGCGAGGTTGGCCGTGTTGCTCAGCTTTGGCAGCGAGCTCGAATGTTCGCCTCCCCTCAGCGACACATCCGCCCTCGCCGCGGCAACCAAGCTGGCTCTATGCCGCAGCGCATTGAGACTGGAGAAGTAGATGGCAGAGCCAAAGCCTGTGCGCAATGTACTTGGCAGCGTGCCCCTCCAAAACTGCCGGATGGGATTCGGCCCGCTTGCGATGGACTGGATGGTTCCAAGAAGAGTGCTTGAGCGAGACTGTTGGACGCGTGTCTTGAGGAGGTCGGCAGGTTGGAGGAGAACTGCAGACAGGATGCCTGAGTTCAAGCCAGCAAAGAAATGGACTGAGCCCGTGTGTCAGCCACTCGGGTCTTGCTGCCACGCACCAATGCCATGCCATGCTCTTGCTGTGCTCTGCTCTGTTGTACTCTGCTCTATCCACACTTACAGTAAGAAGACGGGCGCTTTCCGCCATCTGACATTGCCGCGCCGTCAATTGATCAAATGTGTTATGTCGAGAGTGAATGGGTTGCACTACACATGATAGCAACAGCTGTGAATGTTAGAGACGGACAGACTGGAATGGGGGCAGTCCAACGGGTGCCGCGAAAAAAAGTGCATGACGTTTCGACGACAAGTTCCGAGCGCCGGCGGGTCGGTACGCCGAACCACAGGCTGACGCTCCCATGCCGCCTTGGGAATGCCCAGCAGATTGCATGTGATTAGTTCTCGGGGCCCAAGTCTTGATTCAAACTACCTACTACATAGGTCGGTGTGAATACTACGCTCTGTGTCCACGGGTTGCATGCTCGCTACAGTGCCATGTGGTCAGGCGAATCGGATGCGTCAGCCGCCTGTTACACAATCCCTTCCCTCTCCCCGATTCTTTCCTGGCAAGTCGGTCCGCCATCGAGGCCTTGGGCGCAAGCCAAGGGCTCTTCGTGCCCACGCCACGACGCCGGGGCGGGATACAGATGACTCCACCCTGGCTTCTGCTCTCACCGTCTTCGTTTTTGTCCAGCATTGTTAATGTTCTTTTTTTGTGCTGTTCCGCCACACAGCCAAAATAAGGGTCCTTGCTTGTCCAGCTCCAGGGCAGCGGGTCCTATATGGGCTCACCTAGACTCCAGAGCCCGTCTTATCGATCTAACAGCACGAGGCTAGCGGGGTGAATCTGGGGTATCAGCGTGGCTGATCCAGACTGCCAGCCAAGACCACCACGCTTCCTTGGCTCTCTCCCGCCTCCAACTCCTCTGTGGAATCAATAGGATCGGAACACTGCTGCAGCTGATATGTCTCTGCCATCCCCACGGCGTAGGTTGGGTCGCGCTTGGTCGGTGCGAGTAGCCGTCACATGAAACAAGACGGTCGCTATACTATGGTCCTAATCACTGCCAGCATCCCATGCCGACAACACTGTACAAACCCGCATGTGTGCCCAAGTACCTGTCTTGATCCCAACTGCTTCATGGTCTCTCCCGGTCAGCGGAAAAACCCGCCAAGCACTTTGGGCGGCCCAAGGCAAAAGACAAACAACATGTAATCCCAATAACAGCCTGTACCCAGCCTCCGTTTCCAAGAAAGAGTCCTCTGACCTTCCATTATCATCTTTCAGCTGCATGCCCAGACATCCCGCATTGCTTGGCACGCTTCCCACCCCCGGCAAACATTCTCCTCGTACCAGCTACACTGACAGCCGCGTGGCCGGGCCTGAAGCCAATCGTTTACACCCGCTCTTTTTCCTCTTAAGCCCCAAAGGTCCCTGCATGACTGATCTCATTATACCTCTACCGCAAACATGACGGCCCCGGCACTAAGAGTTACCGTAGATGGCGACAACAACAAGATATACCAAGCAGGAGAAAAGGTCAAGGGTCAGGTCTGGTTGGCAGTAGAAGAGCAAAAGGAGGTTGCATCACTGAAGTTGGTCTTCGCCGGGAGTTGTATTACCAAGACCACTAGGCCACTGCACACACATGGCAACAACGACGCCACTCCATCAAGACAAACCTATGAGGAAAAGATACGACTGTTCAACCGAGAAAAACATCTGCTTTCCCACTGCAGACTTGGACCAAAGAAATATTCCTGGGATTTTGAATTCATCTTCCCAGCATCCACCGAACCTCAGTACAAACGCTCGACACACGGAGACAACTACCTCTGGGAACCACATCCACTCCCGCCGACATTCCACCTGAAAACAAATGTCCCGAACGGTACAGCACAAATATCATACTTTGTCCAGGCAAGACTCATCCTATTCGGCTCCACAGAAACAAAGAGATGCAAGCAAACACTCCGCTACCACCCCAAACCACCCGCACACTCAATCTCCCGCTCCCGCTCTACCTCCTCCGTCCTCTACGGCCAATCCTGGAAGCCCACCCGCGAAAAAGACGAATCCCGCGTGAAAAAAGTATTCTCAGGCGTCTCCATGAACTCAACCCCGCGCATCGTCCCTACGCTCTACCACCCCATCTGCGTCGGCCCCGGCGGCCACATCCCCCTCTCCCTCAACCTCCTCAACGCGCGCGACCCCGCCAACCACGCCGAGCGCCACTGCACCATCTCCACCCTCTCCGTCGTCATATCCACCCACTCCACCACCATGTGCGGAAACTCATCTTCCTACCCCGAAGACACCGTTGCCAAACACGTAACCTGCATCTCGCGTTCAGACATGCAGACGCAAATCCCCTTCAACAAAACCGTGGCCCTCACCTCAAATTCTTTCCGCCTCCTCGACGACGCAGAGTGTATCCCCTCGTTTAAAACATACACCATTACCCGCCGCTACACTCTCAGCGTCACCGTCGGTATCCAATACAACGACCAGCACTTCACCGTCACATCTACAACTCCGCTAGAAATTCTACCGCGCCTCCGCCGTCGTGCATCGACTTTGCCACCGGCACAGGACGAAGAAGAGGATGTAGAACCTCTGCCTGTATATAGTCCCAGGGAACCCCCCGACAGAGAATTCGCTCCAGATTACGAAGACATTTTCAATTCGCTGTCGCGTACGCCGTCGAGTCCAGAGTCGCTGCTGTCCAGGGTCGAGTCGAGTAGTTCGAGTTTGTTCTCACACGGATCCGGGGTTAGTACTGTGGCGAGTACGCCTGGGGTTGAGGTCGAGCACATGAGGTTCGAGAGGATTGTGTGATGCGTTGTTTTTTTTTTCCTTTCTGTCTTATAATGATTACATGGTATGATGAGATGATTACTCTCAGTCTTTTTCTTTTTCTTTTCTGTCCCTTTTTTCTTAACACAATTGGAGTTTTTTTCTTAGGGGAAAATGGAGTTTGGTGTTTTTTTGTGGGGGATACCAATTTAGCTTTTTTTTTCCCTAGTAAGTAGAGCCGTTTGAGCGAAACACAATCAAGTCATCAGAAGCTAGAATCGAGTCTATCACATACATTCGTATTATAAAATTTCCATGAATTAAATCTACTACTTTTTTTTCGTTCTTCTCCATTGAGAGCAAAACTCCGGTACATGCAGCAGCTCTCCAAGTACACAACAGCAAGCCTACCTCCACAAGCGAAACGGATGAGCCTCAGTATTGAGTACAAAGTCATCAAGGCTAATCAAGCCAGTATCAGCAAAGCACAGATAAAAATACTTGAGCGTCTCGGCCATCCAGAAACTCTCCATGTAATCCTCTTTTTCGGATCCTTTGACCGTAACATCCATGATGGCCGCGTTAGCGAGCTTGGTATCTGTTTCCGCGGCTACAGCTTCGAACATTGTCCATGCGGTTTCGCGCCAGACAGGGTCGCCGGTGATGCGCCAGAGGATAAAGACGGATTCGATTGCTTCGGGGCGGAGAATGTAGCGGGGATCCTTGGCGGTGGTGAAACCCTTAGGGAGGTTGGGTTTGTATTGTGGGCGTGCGGCTGCGGATTCAGTGTATCGCTTCTCGTCCCAAGCGCAGCGTTTGCGGTGATCGGGACCCGGGCACAAGACCATGTTATATCTCTCTGGCATGATACCGGATGGGAAGGCCTGGTACGCGTAAGCGCAACCACGAGCTAGCTTGACTCCGTGGTCAAGGTATTCATCGTTTTGGAATAGGCGTCCACTGAGTGCGTAGAGTCCACCAATAAAGCATGAAAGGTGTTCGCTTTCAGGATCGAGGCTCGGGCCATCTTCGAGGACGTCAACATTGCCGGAGATGAGAATTTCTTCCTGGCCTGGTATCATCGGCGCAAAGAATAGGTTGCTCATTGCCGTGTCCAAGAAAGCGCGCGACATGGTTTCAAACTTGGCTGCGCTGGGATCGACTGAACCAAGCAAAGCGTGTGCCTTGGGCAGGTATTCATACAGCGAATCTGCATTTCCACCAATGGTGAATTGATATCCAGACACCACATCCCGGTTACGCATAGACACCATCATGGGCCACATTCCAGGCAGCTTGGTCGCGTTCTGGTCTTTGTGGAAAACATCCATCAGACGCGATACTGCAGCATAGTACTTGTCGTCTCCGGTGATTTGGCTGAGCCGGCTAAACTCCAGAGTGATTGTACCAGGACTCGCGCTGACCACCTCGCTCTCCACAACCAAGCCTCCACCCTTCTTTGCTTCTTCAAAGTTGATAAAGTCGACTGGTATGCCATGCTCCGTGTTGAATCCGGCATACAACAAGTCGCCCACCTCAATCGCTTTTGCTTTTAGTGCGTCATGCCCACTCAAGTCGTATGCCGCTAGGAGTCCACCCAGATATCTAGAAATGTTAACCTGTGCTTTGGTTGCATTCTTTAAGCGCAAAACATACCGAATGCACGTCTCAAAAGTATTTACTCTTGATGAAGTCGAGGTGCCGAAATCAATCGTTGAAACTGCCCTGACAGCCTCGTAGAACTCTTCACGCATGCCCATCATCCACAACGTGTCAAGACTATCCACGAGCGTAGCAGCCCAGCCCGAGAATTGGTCGACATAACCCCCACTAATAGGCTTCAGCGCATCTTTCATCCATGCATTGCTCTTGTAACTAGCCCAGCTCTTCTTAAACACTCTCTTGACCTCGAGTCGTCTGGCCTCCTGCGATTCGGCTCTAGCGGGATGTTGTATGCGAGGTCGATTTCTGAACGGGGCGGGTAAATTTGGTTTGCGTTGCAGCGGATAGGTAAAGTTGACCGAACTCCAGTCGAAACTGCTCGCTTTTGCGCGAATGGGCGGTATACCGGATACATCATTCATGTAGCGCGCAAGGCTGATGGTCGCATCGTGATTGACGCCCGGGGCAATACCTGCATGTTGGTTCGCGGGAAGGAAGCAGTAGATCCACACAACAATTGCCACGCAAATGGCGACATGGCGGATACGCAGGCGAGGCATTGTTTAGTGCATCACGCAGGTTAAAGAGCGGAAGCGTCGGTCAAGAAGTCAGGCAAGCCACATGTAAGAAACGCGATCTGCGGAGGGACGCGTGGGAAGGGCCGATGGCGGTGCATCTTATGTGATGTGGCCTGGAGATGGGACGCGCTGCTATTTGTGGAGGGATGCTCTGGCAGCAACTATTAGCGCGGCCGTTGCGGATGATCGCCGAAGATCATCCGTTTCGGGTAACTTTCATCACGTGAGACGAGGAAGGCATGTGTGGTACAACTGTTCGTAGTGGAGTGGAAGAGACTCTTGGCAGTCTGTTGATTGTAATATTACAAAACTATAGAATCGACTATTGACTCTAGGATAAGGGGTATATGCTAACGCTGTGCGTCTAGAAAGAACTCAACTTTTTGGCCGTGAAAATGCAATCTCCAAAACAACTTCGTAACACATGTCTATTTCTTGGTGCTCGCTCGGCTGTTGCCTCGCGGCCTGCCCGCAAAGCTCTCTCTTGTGTTGACACGGTCAATGTCGAATGGGTTCGGTTCGAACTCGAGGTCGCGCACTGTTCTTCTGCTCCTTGTTGAGCGTCCAGTGTGAATCCTCTTCAGACCATCAGCACCATCGGTCTCCTTTTCGGTCTTCATTTCTTGGAACCTGGGCTCGGATTCCTCCATGTGCGCCTCCTCCTCGGCTTCTTCTTGTGGTGTAAGGGTGTTGGCACGAGATGTGTCTTCTGATTCGGTGCCAGCAGCTTGTTGTCGTGCTGCCTTTGCGGCGTGTTGGTCGCGCATGCGTTGCATAAACGCCTCGGACTGTGCGGCATACTTGCACTTCTCGCGGATTTGGGCTCCGTACTTGTAGAAGAGGAATGGGAGCGGGAGACAGGCAATGGCAAGGAAGGCTGGGACCGATGATGCCCAGTGGATGCCGAGGCTCTTGTACATTTGCGAAGTGAAGAGCGGGAAAGCAGCACCGAATACTGATCGAATGATACCGTTGCCAGCCAAGACAGACGCGGCAAAGATAGTGTAGGAGTCGATGAGGTAGTTCATGATCGACAGGAAGATGAGAACCATGCCAAATCCGAATGGAATCGAGGCGACAACACTAATAGCCCATGGCAGGGACGGAGAGTTTGTCCAGGCGAACCAGAAGAGACCAACGGGGAGTGCAATGCCACCAATGATGCACATGGGTAGACGAGCTTCGGGGGCGGCAAATCCACGACCGGATTCTGCAATCTTTTTCCTGTACATCTTGTTGTCGATGGTGATGACGTAGGTAATGGCGAGTGCGATTCCAATGGCGACGGCAACAAAGGGCAATCCACTGACACCCTCGTTCCAGCCACGTCCCACGCGGTACACAATGGGGAAGGCACCGAAAAGCATGTAGAGAATACCGTAGATGATGGCGTGGTACAGGGAGAGGAGGAGGACGATGGGTTCGCAGAAGAGGAGGATCCATGGGCGCTTGAGGCCAGTAGCGAAGGCCTCTCCAAGCGAAACCTTTCCTTGTTCAATGTCGGCGCGGGATCGGTAAACCTTGCCAGAGAGCTTAGAGAGCTTCTCGGCACGCTTTCGGAGCAAGACTGGAGGGTATGTCTCGGGGACAAGCAAGGCTACAGCAACGAGAAGCACACCGGCCCAGATTGCCATAAGGCCGTTGACCCATCGCCATCTAGAGGAAGAGTTAGCTACGTATGATAAAGTGTGGGGTTTCAGTTACATACCCTTCAGCCATGCCAAGGAATCCACCGATGATGGGACCCAAGACTGGACCCATGAAAGGTGCGGCAGAGAAGATACTCATGACAACACCTCGCTCGTTGGCGGTAAAGAGATCAGCAATAACGCCTCCGGCGTTGGTCAGAGGACTGGATCCAAAGGCGGCGGCGAAAAATCGGAGAATGAGCAGTGAGTAAATGGAATCCGAGCCGGCAACACCAGCGTTGAAAGCCATGAAAGCGAAGTATGTTCCTAGGAAGACAACCTGGCGGCCGTACAGTTCCGAAAAGGGAGCCCACAGGAGGGGTCCAAGTGCGAATCCCAGGACGAACAGTGATACACCGAGTGTGACGATTTCTTGGCTAACTTTGAATTCCATCATGATTTGTTGGATACCTGGCAAGTGTTAGCTTTCAACATGTCTGCAATCTCAGATACGCGTGATACATACCTCCAGAGAAGGCAGACGAGCAAAATGATACGACGAGGACCGAGTTTGCTACGGCAATGGCCATGATCCATTTCTTCGACTTGGGCCAGGTCATGGGGTTCCTGGGGTCATTGTCGATCCACTCGACGACATAGGGATCCTCCTCTGTTCCCGCACCCTCGTAGTCGTAGTTGATGATCTCCCGAGTGACCACTCCCTGGTCGGTGATCATTTGCCAATGTGTAATTCCTTCTCTTCCTGACTCGACGTCCATGTTGCTGTTGTTGGTGGCAGAGCCAGCGGGGACCTCACGGTCCTTTTCCGTCATGATTATATCGTCCAGTCGATGTACTGATGGCGTAGCAGTGATGGTGTTGTGATGTCCCTTATATCTCCAGGGGGTGAAGCGGTGAGGTGAATACGGCGGTGGAATTCTTTAGTCCAAGAGCCCGATATTATATTAAAAAACGGTGTAATGTGTATAAAGGTCGACAAAGATACGAAGCAATGACGACAGTTGAAAGCTTGGGAGAGCAAGAGCGACGATCAATGTGCCAGACAGCGGGACCTACGCCACATATAAACAATCGTGTCCAACGCCGACCGAAGAACTTGTCATTAGCTTGCAAGGGCGCATCCAACGAAAAACCCGGCCGACGAATCTGTTTCCGCCTTTGCCCAGTGATCTGGAACCTTTGCCGGGTCACGGCATTGCCGCTGCTACCAGTGCCATCCCTGAGCCCTATGACACCATGATGCTAAATCTTGAGCGTTGGCGTTGCTCGGCCGAGGTGAGCGGCAACGCTAATCTGCTTCCAACAGCGTAGTCAGTCGCAAATCTAGGAAACCCAAGCCTCGGGCCCAATCATACGCGCGACAGCGGACCAACAAAGCGCCGAAGTAGAGGGAAAGTCGTATACTATTCGTGGCAAATGCAGGGAAGAGAAGCAAAGTAGAGAAGATTCTTACGGCAGCACTCTGTTTGTCTCGCTGTACCGAACCTAAAGCGAACTTCGCGCGTCATAGGATTGGACTCGAAATTTCGACTGTCTTTTTTTTTCTGCGCAAGCCCCCTAACGCATTGGCACGTCGAGATGCCGAGGTACAGAGATACAGTCATGCGTGTGCGATATCAATAGACGATACGAGAAATTCCATGCTCCACTTTTGCCCACCCTCGCACTCTCGCTTCTCGCGCGCTCCGCTGTGCATGAGTTGCGACGCGTACATGTGCTGGATCTCCGCTGGGAGGGGGTGTCACGAGTCGTCGAGTCGGACGGTCGGACGACCTTCATTCTACAATAGTGTGGATGGTCCATAGCAACCGTTTCGCATGCAACGGGTTTGTATGGACGTGCACTCGAGATTCCACACCGTTGGCGGATGAATCGCTTGGGTACGACCGAGTAGCTGATCAATCACCAAGTGAATGGAACAAGTTGCACCAGCCAGTTAGGTGCATACCAAGATTTGGAGCCTCCTCTTGCGTTCCAGCCTCTGAAGTATATTACTCGCAACTTGCGACTCGATGCGGAGTTCGGAGCTTGACGAGCTTACGCTGTTGGTCCTGTTCGGGACATCGAACGGATATAGGACGTAAGGCGTGTTACGCCAAAACCCGACCCCGGTCGCGCTACTCTAACGCCACCATCGGAGTCAACCTCTTGTCCCGACCCCGACTCAAACTGTGCTTCATACGTACATACGCAGCTTGTATTTCTAATACCGTGCTAGTCACACATCCACCACGCCATTGTTTCTTTTTCGTTGGTAAGCCACTACGTGTACACAATATGTATGCATTTACGCTTTCCCCTCAATTACACCTCCACTTCTGAGTTGCACAAATACGAGATGGCGAGATATGGCCAGGGTCCCTTTTCGCCCACAAAGATAAGAGAAATATACAAAAACACACCATAACCACAAACCCTCGCCCAATAACTCCACTCCTCCCTACATATATCCGCACGTCCACAAGCCCAAGCACCCCTCCCCCTGTACCTCATTTCTCCAGCAACACTAGCCCCAAACCCCCAAATTCCAGCCCAACCCAAAAATCCTCCCTTCCTGTCAAATGTTCCCCTACCCCCAATACCCCAATCACAAACCTAATCCCAAAATAAGAAACAAAAAGAGTTCATGTCTTCGCACGCGCGGTTCTTGGCCCGCACAAGCCAAGCACCACTCCCTCGCACTTGCACTGTCAAGCTTTCCCCTAAACCCAATACTAACCCAAAAGGCACCTTCCCGTCACCGCCACAACCCTAACCTCAAAACGAAACAAACCCGCAGTTCATCCCGGGCTTGGCTCCGGTCCCTCCCTCATGCTTGCATCAAGCAAACCTACCAGGCTTTTCCCCTACCAACCTAACCTAACCTAAAATAACATAACCCTCCATTCCTTCTCTTCCCTTCCCCATCACCACCCAACCCACTCTAGCCCCAAAAACACCCATCCTTTCCCTACCCTCAAAACCCCATCGCCCTTCGTTTCCCATCCCAACCCTAAGTAGTAGCCCCAAAACAAACACTGCTCCCTCCGTCCTTGGCTACACCCCAAGTTCTAACCAAGTAAAATGACTACTAAGCTTTCCACATCCACATCCCACTCCACCACCCTACCGCATATGGTCATACATATATCTTTGAGTCTAGAAGTAGTCTTAAGCAAACGAAGAACTATTACTAGAATACTATAGATATCACGATATTCTAAACTCAAGACTAACTCTTGGACATCTACCAAGCATCTCTTAGAATGGTATAGGAGTGGATAATCTTAACCACCTCTAAGAAGACTTTTCAAGAATTCGTCTTAAATCTACTTTTTTTTTTTTTAAAAAAAAAGAAAATTATCTTATACCTATCGGCGAAAACAATTCACAATAGAATAAACTTGACGCGCTTAGATTGGCATTACTTCATCTTAAAAGTAACCTATAAGTCTATCTCGCGACAAGGTTACCTTCTCACGACTTTTGAACATTTTATTTATCTGAACCTAGACCTTAGCCCCTAAGAACATCGTACTAGAAAAAACAATCAACATTGCTCATGCTTCACTTTTTTGGCTAGGACAAGTTGGAGGAAACGGCGTTCCGGGTGCAAACGTGTTGCTGCAGTGGCCTGCGTAACAAGACTCGAAACAGGTTTCGTAAGTACAGCTTCCTTGATTGATGCAGCAGCAGAATTTGGCGTCGCATCCCATCGCTCGTAGCTGGGAAGAAAAGGGTACTTGTTAGTTGATCATGTGTGTGTGTGTGTGACAGAGAGAGAGAGAGATGCTAAGTACCTGTAGTTTCTCTTTTCCATGTTCAAGAGGGATAGCAGACGCAATCGTAGCGAAAGCGATAGAAAGTAATGACAAGAAGACGCATGGTTTGTAAAAAAAAAAACTTGATTACGGCCCTGGTGCGTAGAATGTAATTTGGTTTGAATGCTGAGAAGATGGAATAATGACGATACAAAGACTAGATAACAAGTATAGAATAAGTGATGATCTTTTATATCCTCCAACAGTCCATTTATCTATACCTTTGGAAAAAAAAAAGACAAGGAAGATCAAACAATGGTTGCTATCAAGTCCCTTCTTCTAACTGCCATCTGCAGTGTAGCCTATGCTGCCCCCACCCGTCGCAGTCAAGGCCTCTGAGTATGCCCAACCCTTCCACTAAAATGCTTCTCTGCTATATATACTATGAACCACCTAACTAACACTTATAATCTTTAGAAGCGTCTCTGTCCCTGCTGCAGGAGCAGCGGAGCCTTTTGCCAAGTCTCTCATGAAAAAAAAAGGTGGATAGTATTTCTCCAAAATACGGGGGAAAAAAAATAATCCCCCCTCTAAATAGCATTTCTTTAAAATCTTCTGTTTTTTTTGTTTTTTTTAAAGGGTTCATGTATCCAAGAGAACATTCAACATTGCCTGGGATAGCCCCCCACCTTGACGGCGCAAAGGACTTTATACTCCAAGCGCTTGTGACCTACGTAGAAGGTCAGGTTTACACTGTTGCTGGGAGGGGTGTATACGTGTCTCCCCTTCAGCGCCACAGAAAATGGACAGGGCGTTTTCCCGTGTTTCGTACCTGTCTCGGAATGGCGTTCTGGACAGCGGTTGCGCGTATTCTTTTTTTTGATACCGTTAAAAGGGGTGATTGTTAGTGCGATTGATGAAGGGGGTTGGAGCAGAATGGTCAGGAGATTAAGAGTAATATTGAGGCGGGCGTTTAAGGCTACGTAGAAGGGGGGAGATGGAGAAAGGGGGGGGGAACTGTGCCTGCGTTAAGAACTACAGAATGCATACGGACGATCGATACACACCCTTACTCCTTACCAACCTTACCTCAAGTATCTATTTGGTCTAAATCAAGATTAACAGACCCATCAAAACTCCCGTCTGTCTCTGCTACTCGTTTACTCTTGAACCCCGTGTGTTCCAAACGCTCTTAACGTCTCATGATTAATGCGGAATTCACAATCTAAGATTGTGAAGCAGAATCCCTGCGCAGTAGTATAACAAAAAGACGCCATTATTAAGAAGCGCGAAAACATGTTCTCAAGAAAGAGAGAGAGAGAGAGAGAGAGAGAAGAATTCCTATACTATAACTTTATTCAAGTTTTTTTTCTTTTCTTTTCTGAATATATCCAAAAAAAAACGACCGGCTAATCCAGAAAATCCCCAAACATTCTTTACCAAAAAAATATAGCGATAAATCCTTCCTGTTCATATCTTTCATATTTATACCCTAAATGCCCGATTTCCCCCCCCGCAAACGCCCCCCCCCCCTACCCCCCTCCAAAAAAAAACAGTTTTACTCTTTTTCAAATTCCCCCCCCCCCCTTCTCCATCACAAACCACATCTCTAAACCTCATTACTAGGATACCCCACCTGTTCCGTCGGCAAAAACTCCTCCTTAACCGCCCTCACATTAACAAAGCGCGCCAGTAAATTCGCACTCCCAGCCTTGTCATTTGTGCCGCTAGCCCTCGAGCCGCCAAACGGCTGCTGGCCCACAACCGCACCCGTACACTTGCAGTTGATATAAAAGTTACCCGCTGCATTCCTCAGTTTATCTGCTGCAAACTTGATGGTCTCGCGGTCCTTCGCGAAGATAGCGCCGGTGAGAGCGTACTCGGAGGTGTCGTCGATTTGGCGGATGATGTTGGCGAAGGCGTTGGGAGCGGCATCATCGTAGACGTAGGCGACGAGGATGGGGCCGAAGAGTTCGCGGGAGAGGAGGGGGTGGTTTGGGTTTTTGGTCAGGTACACGGTCGGGTGGATGTAGTAGCCCTCGGTGCTGTCGTACTTGCCGCCGACGACGAGTTCGAGTTCGGGATCGGATTTGGCGTCGTCGATTACGCCAGAGAGCTTCTTGAATGAGGCTTCGTGGATGACGGGACCGATGAAGTTGGAGAAATCGGAGGGCTCGCCGATTTTTAGGGCGGAGACTTCTTTGATGAGGATTTCTTTGAATTCGGGCCAGGCGGAGGAGGGCACGTAGAGGCGAGAGCAGGCGCTGCATTTTTGGCCTTGGTACTCAAAGGCGCCGCGGACGGTCTGGATGGCGGCGTTGTGGATGTCGGCGTCCTTGTGGATGAGATGGAAGTTCTTGCCGCCAGTCTCGCCGACAATCCTGGGGTAGCTCTGGTACTTGCCCTCGGCTACACCGTTGGCAATCTTTCCGTACAGCTGGCGGAAGACTGCTGTGCTGCCAGTGTAGTGCAGGGATGCGAATTGCCTGTGAGCGAGAACCTCCTGTGTGACTTCCACAGCGTCACCAGGGACCCACTGGATGACATTTGGTGGAAGGCCAGCCTCGATCAGAATCTGGTAGAGAAGCCAGTTAGAGGCAATTGCAGATGGCGATGGCTTCCACACGACAACGTTGCCCATCAGAGCTGGGGCTGCGGGGAGGTTACCGCCAATGGCTGTGAAGTTGAAAGGGGATACGGCGTAGACAAAACCTTCGAGTGGTCGGTATTCAACGCGGCTATTTCAGTTAGCTTTGCTCTCAACTGTAAACAGCGACTGTACGTACTTCCATACACCAGGCGAGTTGTGTACTGGCTGGTGGCCATATGTCTCTTCCGCGTACTTGACATTGAACCTGAGAAAGTCACACAGCTCCGCTGCTGCATCAATCTCGGCTTGCCATGCATTCTTTCCCTGTCCCACCATTGTCGCTGCCATGATCTCATATCGGTACTTTGTGGAAATGAGGTCTGCCGCCTTGAGAAATACTGAAGCGCGATCAGCAAAGGGAAGCGCTTCCCATGCTGGCTTCGCTGCCAATGCGGCATCGATGGCCTTCTTGACGTCCGCTGGGCTGGCATTGGAGTACTTGGCAATGACGTCGGCGTGGGAGGAGGGGTTGTTCTGAGTGAGGATGGACGAGGTTTTGATCTGAAGCTGTCAATGAGATGAAACCACCGAGCCAGTGTCTTCCAATCTTACGTATTCTCCTCCTACGGCAAGAGGGACCTCTACTGGGCCCCGCTTCTTCATACGTGCAACCGCATCCTGAAGCTTCTGTCGGTCGACTGAGCCTTTGGCATAGTGTTGCTAGGATTCTCAATCAGCAAAAATCCTACGGAAACCTCACCATATCTTCAACTTACGTTTGGCTCGTTGTTAACAGTCGGAATCTTGAAGTTTGCAAGCGTCCCCGCATATCGTCGTGAAGCAACCTGCGCACCAGCATAGGCTGCGGGCAGTGCATTCAATGTCTTTGTAGCAGAGCGAAGCGGCTGGAGACTCTTTGAAGAACCCATTGTAGATGATTTGGAATGTCAATTAGCCAAAAAGTTTGGGGCTTCTCGTTATGTATCCCAAGCTGTGAAGCTCGAATCGAATGAGCTCTGGGGTTGAGCCGACGAAAGCCGATACCTAGTGTGGGGCAAACGATCGCCGCTGTAGTAGCGAACATGTCTTGCGCACCACAATCGGCGTGGAGCTACATCACCGAATGAGCTTTTCGTCAGTTTGGTGGCCGATGTCGCACTTTGGTTCGGTCAGTAGCGGCCCAGATGGATGTGGATGATTGGGCAAAGTTTTCATCAGTCGGAGGCTATGTGATTGTAAAATGGCTATCATGATATGATTGTGATATCTAGTCGAGACCTGATTCCTCTTCTTAGGGAAAAGCCAGTACTGCAGTGAAATACAAACGCCAATTCGCCAGTTGACTCTCGTCGTAACATGCTTACATTTCCATGGCCTCTGGTGCTGCAGTGTCGTTGGAGTCGTCGCCCCAAAGACCTTCGAGCTTGAATTCGGCAGCCCATTCCTTGACAATCTCCTTCTGGTCACCAACGAGACCGCCCTTCTGGGCGGGAGCCGTCTTTGTCGTTGCAGTCTCGGCAGGAACGTACTTGGGCGGGCTTGTCCATCCTTGAATGCGACCATCTCTCCAGTCATTGATGACAGTCTGTGCTGCAGCATGCATGTTGGGTATTCCACCCTTACCAAGTCGACCTCGTTTCCTTGCTACCTGAACCAAAAAGTCGGTCGTCCTGTCATTGCCTATGGTATGTAGCGGGGGCAGATCATAAACCTCCATGAGTTTTGCAAACAGTTCTTCTGAAGATGAGAGCCTCTTCAACAGAAGCGTCACAGCTGGGATGGGATCTTCGATTTCCCTAGGTGGGACAGCATTCAGGAGAATCAGTCGTGCTTGTTGCTGTACTTTGCTCTCCTTGGAACCTTCAGTATTCGGGAAGACAATACCAGGCGAGTCTAGAAGCTTGAGCTTGTTGTCAAGCTTGACTTCTCGTAAGCTGGTAGTGACGCCAGCCTCGGCGCCAGTTGGGCAACCAGCAGATCTTCCTCCTAGTCTTGAGGTCAAGGCGTTGATCACCGAAGACTTGCCCACATTGGGATATCCGATGATTCCAACCTTGACCGAGCGCTTGAGCTGCCGTGACTCTGCAAAAGTCTTGAGGGCTTTGAAAAGAGTCTCTGATGTACCCTTCATAGTGAGGTCCTTGTGCTCAAAGGTCTTTGCGTTGGGCGCAGGCTTGGATGCGCGCAGCGGAAGGGTGGGGAAGGAGCGACGGAGGTGAACGAGCCATGCTCTGAGGGCTGGTGGGGGGACAAGGTCGATCTTGTTGAGGATGAATATCAGGCGCTTGCTTGAACGGTCTGCTGCCATGACTGCCTGCTCCACCTCTTTCGATCGCGTTCCCATGGGATCTCTGGCGTCGAGGACGTACAGGACAACGTCGGCCGAGTCAACGACTTGCTTGTAGACCTTGTCAAACTGCTTTCTTGATGCGTCTTTGCGGACCCTGACCCCGCCGCTTTCGTCGTCATCGTCTTCTTCCTCGCTGTCGAGCATGGCGTCTGCATCATTGTCGTTTTTCTCAAACTCAGCGGCACGTGCCTTCGCAGAAGCCAAAAGGGCGGCCATGGGATTAAGTTTGTTGTCCTAGTATGTATTAGCACTCCGGCGCATCGCGATGCAGCTGGGGAAACGCACCACCTGCATCGAATCCTCATCTTCGCTGCTGTCGTCTGCAAGTAGCTCGTCGCCTTCGGCATCAAACTGCTCAAACTCGTCGTCGTCGTCCATGGCATCTTCAGCAGAAGCGGCATTCAGTTTCTGCTCCTTTGCCAGTTGTCGTCGGCGCGCATTTTCTTCTTCTCGGTTCCTTCGCTGTTCCTCGGCCTCTGCCAAAATCTTGTCTTTGTAGGGGAACAGATTGGGAATACCGGGCTCCTTCTTGGTCTTGCTTCGCCATGTTGGATCCTGCGCGCATTAATTGTCTGAGCGCTGTAGCGATGCGCAAGTATCGTACCTTCTTTGCGAGCTTTCTTGCCTTCTTCTGCTTGGCCGCCGACGCTTTTTCAATCTTGTGGCGTAGGCGCACGGGTACGCGCTTTGACTTTGGCTCTGGTATTTCTGTCAGTATTGCTCAGTTTTCGCCTTCCAGTGCGCATCTTACTTCCGACCTTCATTGTGGATTGTTGAGCTTGTGTTTGGATGTCGAGGTCGAAATTTCGACGTCTTCCAAAAAAGTTCGCCAGGTGAAAATACTGCCACCTTCTGCCGCCCAACTAGCGCGGCTCCACTACTCCCCCACTGCCGACATCTTGCCTGGTAGTCACATGATTGCAGACTGGCAGAATTCAAGTCAGACACACGTGGTTATTTGATTTGCATCGGATAAGTTTCCTCTCTACAATACCCTAGGAATCCACTTGATTACAACAGCCTCTTGTGTAAGCTAGATTACCGCACGAGAGCGTCATTGTGATTGGCTGCATGATAATCGGAAAAACATCGGATAGGATTCCCGACGTGGCTAAACCTAGTAGGGCGTTGTCTCACAGCGTACATATGTAGTTTACCTTCACCGTCAATTGGGATTCAGCAACATTTTCGACTCGGCAAGAGATATTACAAAAGGTTATCACGATGAGTGCATCCAAGCCCAACTTCTCGGCGCCGGCGCAGACAATAAAGTGCCATGGCTTGGTGAGTACAAGCATCCACTGACCACGTGTTGACAGGTACTGACTGGAGCAGCTCTTTGACATGGAGTAGGTGACGGGGTTTTGTGGGCATGTCAGCAATGGTGGCTAAGCGCATAATAGTGGTACGATTATCGACTCGACGGTTGCAATTGAGAAGCACTGGCACAAGTAGGTTACGGTGGGAAAAGGCAGATGGGGTAGGCCTAGGCTGACATGTGCATTGCCCAGGATTGGCAAGGAGATTGGAGTCGCGCCCGAAGTGATTCTGGCAACATCACACGGGCGGAGATCTATCGACGTGCTCAAGATCTATGAGCCGAAGCTGGCTAATTGGGAGTGTGAGTGTGCCAGGGTGGACCATGTTGTCGATGTTTGCAACTAAACGAAACAGATATTTGCCATGCCGAGGGACTGGTACCCAAGGAATTCGGGCATGATGCCGTTGAGATTCCCGGATCGCGTGCCTTGCTGGACAAGCTGGAGGAACAGGGTGTTCCGTGGTGCATTGTAACGTCCGGCACACGTCCGCTTGTCCAGGGTTGGCTGGACGTGATGAAACTGGCGCACCCCAAGAATCTGGTGACGGCCGAAGACGTGCTCAACGGCAAGCCGGATCCGACGTGCTATCAGATGGGCGCGGAGAAACTGGAGCTACAAAAAAAGGAGGCTTCTATCATTGTCTTTGAGGACGCGCCGGCAGGAATTCGGTCAGGCAAAGCGGCAGGGTTCGTGGTGGTGGGTCTCCACACGTCACATACGCTAGAACAGATTGTGGAAGCTGGGGCAGACTACATTGTTCAGGACATGGGGAGCGTCACGCTTCAGTCATGGGACAAGACGACGGGGGAGGGTGAGATTGTCATCACAAATGCGTTAGTGTAGGGATGTAGGTAGGAGGTAGGGGGAACAGGTGTACTCGTAGACGTTTGTTGCTGAGGGCGGGGCGGGTAGTTTAGACTTTTGGTGGCGTGGGAGTTCTGCGGCTCTGCTTACTGTGCGCTCTTGAAGAGTCGATGCCGTGTGCATGCGGTGTTACTCGGCTAGAGTCAGAGACGCAGGAGGTGGTTCGAGGTTGTATGTGGGTGGAGACTAGAGTGCAGCGCAGGCGTGTCGAGTGCTGTCCGTACATATGTAGGTGGGTAGAAATAGCTGACGCATGCACCCAGCCTGGCGTGAGCAGACCAGCCTTGCCGAATGAGCAGTTGGGGTTGGAGGTTGGAGGGGGAGAGAGGGGGGGGGCGGTTGCAGTGGGCCTAGCCTTGTTTGGCCGGGCGATTCACGTTGTGTCGCATCGCATGAGATGCCGCATTCATCGGCAGGTGAGTCATGGCGGACGAAGAGGAGGATGAGGGCGAGGGCGAGAGGTGGTTGTTTCTTTTGTTTGTGTGTGTAGAGGTACAGAGGCGCGGGCAGAGTTTGGTGGAGAGGGGCAGTCGGGTGGAGGGAGCGATGGTTGGCGGGCAGCGACGAGGGAGTAATTGTAGGGCTTGCAGCGTGGCCTGTGGATTGCTTTTGGGCTAGTTGGGTTGGTCGGTTGGGACAGCCTTTAGCAGGCGGCGGAGGAGGAGGAGGAACTAGGACTAGGGCGGGATTGGCGGACCTGGCGGGCTGGCGGATTGCGAGTGGACTGGTCATTCGACGACGGGCGGGCGAAACACAAAGGGTTGTAGGACGGTGGCGCCGGGGCCAGTTTTGGGTTCCGCAAGTGGTACTGAAGCTCCCCCTTGCTGCAAGGTACGCGCAGGAACAGCAGCTTGAGCGCAAGCGGACGCGGCAGGCGGGCGAGGCAGCGAGCGAGCGAGCGCCGACTTCCGAACCGAACCAGACGAGACCAGACCAGTGTAAGCAAGGAGCATGTAAGTATACAGTAGTGTATGTATGGGCGGGTGTAATGATGATGATGGTGATGATAATGCCCCCCTTGGCCGTGCGCGGGCGGGCATGACGGACCATCACACAAAGGCGACTCTCGGGCCGGGGGCGGTTGGCAGATGGCACCTGGCACCTGGCACCAATGTGGTCGGCGAGTCGCCAGAGGCACACCCACATGCACACTCTCGCACACACAGGTACACACACCTAATGGTCGACGGGCGACGCCACGCAGAGGCTGGGCAGGAAGCAGACAGGCGACGAGCCGGGCGTCGACGTTGAAGCCACGCCGCGGGCGGTGGCCCAGGACGGTTTTTTGACGTGGACCGTGGCAGAGGAGACGGGCGGGTGGCCAGGCCATGCGTCGAGTATATTGCAGCCAGGCAGGCTATAGCTGCCAGGAGTACCTGCTACTCAGACAGGATGGTATTCACTGACACCTACCAGACCATCCCATATTCTCCGAACGGGGGGGTCAGAGGCCCGGGCTGCAGCACATGGGCCGCCCTCGTCTCAGAATGTGGGACACACACGGCTCTGCTGCCGGGGAGGGCGTCGTGTGAAGTAGGGAGATGCATGTGTGTTGAAGTACTGGACTGAGAGACGACATGCTAGTAGAGTGTAGTGTAGTGTAGTGTAGTGTAGTGTAGTGTAGTGTAGTGTAGTGTAGTAGTAGGAATAAATAGTAGTAGTAAATAGGCGTATCGTAGTATGTATGTGATGTGAAGACACTACAGTCCTTACAGCCTGCACGGGCGGGGGAGAGGCCAATGACGCGCTGCACCCGCATGGCCAGCGTGCTTGGAGCGTCCATGGCATCCATCCACTCGCACCCGCACCCGCCGGACGGTCGAATCACGGCGAGGGGGTGCGTGGAGACTGCCGAGGGCTGGTTATTTTGGTGTCGACGGGCACAATGCGCTGGGGGGGAGGGGGGTTCAGTGGCTGAGCACGTTTGGCACCTCCGACCAACCAAGCACCCGCCAGCCGCCCGCCGCCGCCAGCACCGAGCGAGCGAGCCAGCCAGCCAGCCAGCCAGCCAGCCAGCCAGACCAGACCAGACGTGTGAGCGAGTGCGAGCGAGTGCGAGGCATGCAGCGAGCCAGCAGCGGCCAGCCAGCACTTACCCTAGCTAACCCTACCCTACCCTACCCTGCCCTGCCCTGCCCTACCTAACCCTACTAGCACCCACCCAACCTACCCTCCCTCCCACCATCTGCCAGGCTCCTTCATTCCCCGTCCGCCTCTCGCTTCGTGCCCTCTTTTGCCTGCTCTACTGCGCCGTTGCGCTGAACACTCTCGTTTCCATACTCTCGTCGCAAGCCCGCCGTAGATATAGCGCCTATCCACTATTGCCGCCCTGCCCTCCCCCTCTCTTCCCCCCGTCGCTTAGTCGTCATTGTCGCTCGCTACTTCGTCTGCCATCGGCCCTCCGTCGTGTGGTGCAGCCCGCGCATCCGTGCCCGCTCTACGCACATCCTGCCTATCACCTGAATCCCACGACTGCTGCTACGGCTACTACCACTACCACTACCACTATCGCTGCTATTACTACTACTACTACTACTGCCACCACCATCACTACCACCACCACAACTACTACTACTACCGCCGTCACTACCATCACCACCACCAACATCGCCAACACCACTACTACTACTACCACCACCTCCTTCCCTCACTGCGACGCCCCATCTCGCCCGCTCGCGCTGCATTGTCGCTGGACGCGGCAACATGGATCCCAGCGGCGCCGCTACGACGACCGCACCTCCCGCGCCGAAGCAGCCCGGCAGCGATGTCAAGCCCCGCCTCACCAAAGATCAGCATGACATCCTCGAACAGCACTTCCTCGCCCAACACAAGCCCAGCACCAATGTCAAGAAGGAATTCGCTACCCGCCTCGGCGTCCCCCTCGACAAGATCAATGCGAGTCGTCCCCTCGCTCCCACCACGCCCTCTCGCCAGCCTTGCTAACATGCCTGCAGAACTGGTTCCAGAACCGCCGCGCAAAGGTCAAGCAGGACCGCAAGAAGCTCATGAACCAATACAACATGACCATGAACTTGCCCTTTGCCCACCAGCACGCGCCCGTCATGCCCAACCACTACCCCCATCCCCAGGACCAGCAAAACCCCCACATGCTCATGCAGCCAGACTTTTATTCCACAGCAGACATCAGCCCTGCAACCATGCCCGTCCAGGTTGGCGAAGGTCCCTCGGCACTTGATCTGAACCCCCACATGTCGCAGCAGCACCAGCAGCACCAGCATCAACACCAGCATCAACACCAGCACCAACCCCAACAGCAGCCCCAGCAACAACAGCAATACGACATGTTCCGCTGCATGCCAGAGGTTGATCGCGCACCAGCCTATCGTCCCAACGACCTTATGAACTCCATCATGGCTGCCACCAACGGTGCCTACATGCACGAGAGCGGCCTGCCTGCCGATGCTCAACAGTCCGACTTTACCTTTGATACCTCTGGTCTGTCCAGTGCCTACTCCAGTGACCTTGCCTTTACCGTGTCTGCTCCCATGTCTGGCGACCTAGCCCCCTCACACCCCGAGTTTGACAACTTTGCCGACTTCCAGGTCGACTACTCCGCACTGACGGCTACTGATACCAGCAACTCGAGCGCGCCAGAAGCTCAACAAAGCACAGGGTCCATCTCATCAGGCGCTTCGCCCTACAACGGCACCCAGTCTTCAGCCACGACCCAGTCTCCAAACGGTCCCACTCCCCCTTCCATTGCCTCGTTGAACTCCGTCTACACCGGCTGGACAGAGGACCCCAACCAGCTGGCGCAACCCAAGCACGCCGACGAACCAGAGGACCAGTTCGCGCCCTACAACCTTGGTCAGGCATCCGCCTCGGAGCAGACGCTTCCTTTCTGGCCTCAGGATGGCTCGAGCCAAATGTTCCCACAGCACGGTCTCTACCAACAGCTAAACTCGTCTTCACATGCCATCATGACCACACCAGAGCAAGCGCGGAGGCTCAGTGCTGCGCCTTCTGATCTCGACATCCCCATGCACTTTCGTGAAGATGCCTTTGGCCGCAGAAACTCGTCCACAAGCAATCTCGCCACTAACATGGATGCGATACACATCAGGAATAGCACCCCAGATGAGTTCTCGCTTCCCGACCAGTCGTCGAGCATCGCAGCAAGGCGGCAGAAGCGTCCAATCAACCTCAGCTCGACGGCAATGCGCAGCGCCTCGTACTCTGCCCCCATGCCCTCGCCAGGAGGCAACAACGACAAGGTCATTCGCAGGATTCGCTCAACGGGCATTGGAAATGCTGGAGGCCGTGTACAAAAGTCACAGCCCGGCTCAGCACAACGCTCTCCCATGGCCATGAGCTTCTCCGAGGCTGCGGCGTCACCAAAGTTTGCGCGAACATTCTCCACCTCGAGCACCACTACCATAGGCCAAGGCGGCAGTCTGGCACCCCCGACTCCGCTGACTCCACAGGATTTTGGCAACTACTGGGGCGGTGCAGCGGTAATCAGGCCACATTCGGCCATGCCTGATCACAACAGTCCAGAGAGCATGCACACAAATTGGTCCTCGGATCAGGCTGGAAACGTCATTGCCAAGACTACTTCGCCGCCCTCATCCTCCATGGACCTGCAATCTCGCTTCGTCAACGACGCGCTCTATCGCGACACACCGCCGCAATCAGCACCAGCGACTCAGCAATATTTTCACAGGGCACCATACGCGCAGCCGCCCCAAATACGAGCAGGTTTTCGTTCCACTACTGATCTTACGATTCAACAACCCAAGCCCTCGCATTTCAGGAGACCTTCGTTACCCGACTCTACCCAAAACCAACCCGATGACGGCAATCTACAATACATGCCTGGTGGCAACATGAACTATGAAGACCTTTCACTGAGCGGTATCCACCACAATGTCCCCTTTGCGCCTCAAGTCTCTGCCATGCCGGATTTTTTAGTACATCAGTACAACCCACCTCAGGGCACCAACCCTGCCCAAGGGAATTTTATGCGACGGCCCAATGAACCTCAACCCAAAAGCTACATTTTTGCCAACCAAGGACCGGGAGATTTTGGAGCACAATAACCAAACAATGCATCATTTTGCATTGAGCGCGTAACGTCTCTCTCTCTCTGTCATCCGCCGCGTCTCACAAATACATTCTCATTATACCCAAACTATTTTGCTCAGCCTTGTTTTGTTTTCCATCTCCATCTATCCGAATCTCTCTCAAGGCATGGGCTTCTTGAGGCTCCCATCTCTCTCTCTCTCTCTCTCTCCTGTGGCATAATCTAATACGTCACCTCGTCTTTGATTTTTTTTCCTCGGCTGTAACGAGTCTGGAGTTTTTTTTTACTGGGCGTTCTGTTCGAACATGTGGAATGGAGTTAAAAGCGTCGTCTTTTTTTTTAGTTTTTTAGTGTTGCTGCATTTAGCAATTTGGGCGAAATCTCTCCGTTGGAACCATGTTTTTGTTATTTTTGTGTGTATCTCCATGTATATTTCCTCCTTATTTTCCTTGTCTCTCTTATCTCTATCATTGTTGTAGTTTCTGGATAGAGCTGTGGTTTTGGCTCTTAATCACATGTGTGTATGTGTATGTGGGAAGCGTTAGCAAACATCTGACGAAGGTCAGAAATATGCGGTACTGGAAATAATGAATCACAATTGGATACCTGAGATTATTCTGAGAGAGCATGTGTGTGTGATTGGTTACGGTGACTCTTCCCCTTCTCGTCACTTGAAAATCCTACGTGTCCTCTGCATGTTGTTGTTTTGCTTTTTTCAAACTCTCCCCAACCGTTTTCCCAACCTACTCTCGTTCTCGTTCCTTATTATTCTCGTTCCTGCATTCAGCTTACCTCATAATCCCCGCCCCGTACATATGCATGTGCATGGTTGCCAAGTCGAGAGAGAAAAAGAGAAGAAGAAAGGAAAGAAGCAACGAGCCGTAAGCACCTTGCCCCTGCATATGGCTCCACATTGTTCCACTGCTAGTGAAATTGAGGATGAGTGTAGCACGACATCCTCCCCCTCTCTGTCCTCTTTTTAACGAAAATCATAGGCGACACTTAGTACGTGTAAGATACATCGCATTCGAAGCAGCACAAACGACATCTTCTATTCACACCTTCCTGCGAGAGGATACGGAGTTTACGTATATCACTCTCGCCATCTTCTTCTTCTTCTTCTTCCCCTTCCAACCCCATCCTCCCATTTCCTTCTTCCAGCCTTCTCCCTTCTTTCTTTCTTTCTTTTTTCCTTTGCAGGTACAACAATCTTGCACCTTGACGTTGCTACCCTTGCAATTTGTCTCTCCACCTGCAACATTCTCTGCACTTCCGCACATGCACCCTACATTTTTTTTATAACGTGCCGTAATACGTTCTTGCGCATCCCCCCCCCCTTTCCTTCTACCATGCACGGCACGCCTAAAAAGAAAAAGAAAAAAAAGTGACAAGTTCACATGCGGACATGCGGAATAAGCAATCGCACTCACTCACCCCAAAAAAAAGAGAAGAGAAGAGAGAGAGAGAGGGGGGGGGGCAAAAAGAAAAGTGAAGGGCAAGGAAAGGAAACAGGAAAAATAGGTTGAGGGGGACCTCCTTTCTCACTCTTTTTTTCGTTCCTCCTTCTTTCTTTTCAGGACTACGGCGTTAAGTGTGAAGTGCGTACCTAATATACCTACGCATGTGCCGGGTCTAGACTAACCCATGGCTGGCTTGGTTTGGTTTGGTTTGGTTTGGTGCGGTGCTATGCTGTGCTGTGCTGTGCGAAAAGTACACTACACGCTACAAGCGATAGCTAAAAAATAAATAAATAAATAATATGCGAGATTTAGTACAAAAGGAGAGTGTGAGCGGGACGTTTGCGGGAGAAAAAAAAATAAATATACCTGGAAAAGGGAGGGGGGGCGGAATATGGGGAGAAGAAGAGAGAAAACCGATGTTTTCTTTTCACTTTTGTTTTTTGTTTTTTTGTTTTTTTGGGCTTTGTACGCCCAGCAAGGCGCAAAAAGGCGTACACTTATGCACGAGTTGTGGATCCGGGTGTTGTGCGAGATGAGACTCAACATTTGTGTGTGTGTGTGTGTGTGTGTGTGTGTGTGTGTATCGTCTCATGGCTTTACACACGTTTTTTTGGTACGTACGAATATACTTTGATGTGTTTGATGAGGATTAAGGATTCGCTCAGCGGAGGACAACGTTGGAATACCCCCCCCCCCCCCCCGGGTACAGTCGGAGTGTTACAACATGAAAGAGGGGATATGGTAACCAGGGAGATTAGATGGACGGAAAGATAGTACAGCGCGTAGCTGTGGAGATCAAATTGCGTGTATGTGTGGAAGAAGGAAAGGCGAGAAAAGAAAGGAGGGGTTTGCATCGGAGGATTATGCCGGGTTGGATTGGGAGTTGGGAGTTAGGGGAGAAGGTTTTTTTTGTTGAATGCGAGGGTGGTGGGTGTGGTACGGCGGGTCGTGCCGTACAGGGGAGGAAAGGGTTGTAGGTATGTGTGTGTGTGTTTTTTTTCTTGCTGTCTTTTTTTTGGGGGGGGAGGTAAGGTTGGTTCAACAGATTTTGTTGATGGGGATGGGGGATGGGGGATGGGGGTTGCTAGGACAGGATGCTGATGATGTGTTTTGGTGTGGTTATTTGGTAAATAACGGCATGGCTGTTGGTTGATGTTTGATAAGTGAGAGATTGGATTGGGGGTGGTAGGATGGATGTTGTGCTTGTAAGTGTGCGGGTTTCGGAAAAGAAGGGGTAGGTTGATAATGGTGGCTCCTTTGGCATGAATATATGTTTTTTTCTTTGTGGACGGATATATGTATTGAGACGTATTTCTATCATGGACTCGTAGATAATAGGCTAGGTACGTAGGAGTTTCTAGTTAATACACTTGGTTCAAATGCAGATATGTTTTCGCTATACAGTGAGACCTCCCACTTACTTTGCAATGTTCACTGGAGCAACGCCATATTTCATATCTGACTGAGGAAACAATATTTTGACTTCTAATATAAATTAATTTCTGTAGCATTGTTGCTGAACAGCTGCTGTCGTTGAAGTTTTCTGGTGTAGTCCCCAGACCGTCTACTTCCAACACCTGATACCTAAATCCCTACGACAATCTCCAGTTGTGCATATACTCCCTATTGTTAAAAAAACACTCATAAACTTCTTCCAGTATAATCGAAATCCTGCACATCCAGCCTTTCCATAGCCTCCTCACCACCGAGTACCAGCAAAAATTCCATCTCCTTCTCACTACTATATCCGTGATATGTAAATATATTTTCCAATTTTCCAATTATTTCACATACGACCATCGGCGAAGTGCAAAATTGGGTCTCGTTCGCTCCCCAGACATTAAACCTTCGACCGGCGGACTAGTAGTCAGGTGGGTGACCACTGGCGAATCCCCGCTGTTGTATGTTTTTTTTTCGCAGTCGGATATCCTATGATTTTTTGCATGATAAGCGGTGTGGGTGAAATAACACGTGTTTTCGCATGCAAGTGTGAAAAGTAATCAGTGTTGTTTTTGGGGTATTTGAGATTACACAGCGACGCTTGTTCATGTCGCAGGAGTTGTGCCACAGTGTTGGGCTTTTGGCAAACTCGGATTAAAACAGATAACCCGTTTCATACTATTATTTCTCCATAACTTATAAAGTCAGTCGTATACATAATCCGTGTGCCATACAGTTCGTGTTAGGACGTTAGACTGGCCTATTTCCTTACGACGGACCACCATTTGGAGAAGCGCATGATACTCATATCATAACCCTTCCACCAACAATAGACCCAAGAGGCGGCCCAGGTGGAGCCCAGGATGACCGCGAGACCAACGAGGTTCGAGTTCTTCCAGGACCATGGCTCTTGCTCCTGCAGTAGAGCAGTGTTAGCCACGAAACCAGATAGAAAGTGTGATCAAAGTCGTACCTGGATGCCTCTACCAACAAGATGCTTTTCAACATCGCTAGATTGGGTGACAGCCTTGATAGAGTTGATGACAAGATTAAAATCGCCTTCTTGGGAGCCGAAGAAACTATTTCGCCTATTAGCAACAGAACAGAGAGTAGACCACAAAAAACACAAAGTCATACCTCCTAATCATAATGGTGAACCGTTTCACACTCTCCGTATCCAACGGCTTAGTATCATTCTGCTCTCTCCCCCGATACGTCGCCTTCATCGCATGCCACGGCACAAACACCCCCATGCCACTCTTTGAATCAAAATCATACTCAAAGTTAATCGACGACTGCTCGCGCCCATCCGCCGAAGGCGGCAAAAGCTCATCCTTGAGCGTCAGCGTATACTTTTTTCCATCAAGCTCGCCGATATCCAGGAAAATGCCATCGTATGCAGACAAATCCCAGGCTCGGGTCTCGCCCGTGGTGCGCTGACTAGCGAATCCCGCACCACCGAGCGCTTTTGTGTCGAGGGTGCCGTGGAAACGTGCGGAGGAGCCGTTGATGCTGAGATAGGATTGCGAAGCCCCGCCGCGAACGCGGTCGTCGCTTGCTGTCCAGTCTGAAGCGTTCCAGCCTCTTTTTTGATGGAAAGAAAAAAATTCATGTCAGCATGGGAGGGTTGCTCAATGTACAGTAGTTATATACGATGACGTCACTTAGGGATGGTGTTATACATACTCGCATCCGCCAAAAAGCGTGAGTTCCTTTTGTTTTTCCATTGTGAAATTGATGGGTTTGATGGGAAAGGGGATTTTGGGTGTGCAAAGGAAGGACCAATGTTGTGGATATGTTAATAAAGATGGTTCGATCGGTCCTACTGACGTACTTCAGTTACCTACCGCTACTTAATGCCGAGCCCGGGTCTGTGCTGGTAAATAAGCAACCGGATTTACTATCGTGTTCAACAATCATTCCTCGCTCCGACTTGTTTTGCCGTGTTCATAAGCTTAGGTTGTGTGCGCGATTGTATTTGTTTAGACAGAATGGATTTCAGAAGTCTGGAGCGCATGAATGCTACGGATGAGTCCATCCTACGCGAACCGTATCGACCATTCTACAACATCTTTGGGAGTAAACCCATCTTGGTCAAACAGTACTTCTTCCCCAT